CATTTTCCCCTATTTTTCTCTAAAACTTTTTAGTTTTCTGTTTTCCATTAAGTCTACCATCTATTTTGAGTTAATTTTTGCACAGAGTGTGAGGTGTGAGACTTAGGTCAAGGTTGCTTCTCTCCCCACCCCCCCACCCCACGGAGATTTCTCCAGGACCATTTGTTGAAAAACCTCTGCACCGAGTCCACATGTTCATTGCTGATTTGTAGAACTACAGTTGATTTTTGAATGCTTATTCTTTACCCTGAAAACTTTCAGAATCCACTTATTAGGCCTTTGGATTTTTCTGGCAGATTTCTTGGGATTTTCTATGTAGATAATCGTGTCATTGGCAAATGGAGACAGTTTTATTTTTCCTTTCCAGCACTCACACAGGGGTGTGAGCAGGGTCTTTGCCTGTTTCTGATCTTAGAGGAAAAACATTCAGTCTCACAAAGTATCATGTTGGGTTGTAGGTATTTTAGATGCTCTTTATCAAGTGGAGGAAGTCTCCCTATATACCTTTTTTTCCTGCGAGTTTTTACTATGAAAAGATGTTGAAATTTTGTCAAATGCCTTTTCTGCATTGCTTGATATAATCAAGTGAGTTTTCTTCTCTAACCTGTTAATATGGCAGATAACATTAATTTTCAAGTATTGAACTACTTTTGCATCTCTGGAATAAATTCTATTTACACAGTTCTTTTTACCCATTGCATAATTGTATTTGCTAATATTTTGTTAAGGATATTTACATCTATATTAAGATATTGGGCTTTCATTTTCTTTTATACAATATCCTTGGTTTGGTATGAGGGTTATAGTAGCTTCATAAAATGATTTGGGAAGTGCATCCTTTTCTATATTTTGGGAGGAGATTGTATAAAATTTGTGTAGAATTGTGTAGAAATAGATGATAGAAATCACCAATGAAACCATCTGGGTTTAGAGATTTCTTTTGAGGAGCTTTTACGTTATGAATTTAATTTCCTAAATAGTTATAACACTATTCAAATTATATACTTCATATTGTCTGAGTTATTTTTCCAAAAAGTGGTCTATTTAATTTGTCAAATTTATGCTTGTAGTATTCCCTTTATCTTTTTGATGTTTTCAATGTCAGTAACTATGGGTTCTGTTTAATTCCTAATATTGATGATTTGTGTTGTCTGTTAGTTTTCCAAACATTTTGTCAATTTTATCCCGTCAAGAACCAGTTCCTTGCTTTATTTTGTCCAAGTTTTTCTGATTTTAATTTCAGTGATTTCTGCTCTTGCGTTTATTTTTTCCTTCTGCTTACTTTGGATTTATTTTGCTCTTCTTTTTCTAGGCTTCTCAGATGGAAGCTTAGATTTGAGACTATTCCCCTTTTTTGAAAGTAAGCATTCAAGTAAGAAGAAAAAAAAAATTTTTTTTTTACAAGGGAGGAAATGCACAGAGAACTTGAATTTTTAACTTGTAAATAGTAGGGGGGAAAAGGCAAGTTTAAATGACGGCATAAATACATGTACAAACACCAAGCAGACAGAGTCACCCACTGATATGAGTTGGTGACCAAACATGAGGGAGACGCATTGGAACTTTACTTAATACTTTTCTTTAATTGAAATCCCCTCATATGGCAAATGACCTAAGTAAGAGAATTCTGAAAAAGATGTACATGCGATCATTGGTATCTAGTGTTGGAAACGCCCATTCTTAAGATACTCAAAAACTCAATACTGTTTTATTGTTGTCAGGTAGTAACCAGACTTACTTTCCTAGGTTTTCACAAAATAAAATGAACATGTGATAAAGACAGGCTCAGCATTCCTCCTGTGTTCTTGATAAACTTAATAAAGTCCTTTTTGTTACCATTCAAGGCCAAAATGTTGAAAGAGTCCCAGCTTGTTGGCATCTTTCGTCCTCTGGCAGTTATCTCTCGGCTCCACTCTGCTCAGCACAGCACATACTGTTCTAGCACACGAAATCCAGCAGAGAGAATTTTAGGTGCAGACAACATGTATTTGCATATTTGAGATAAACTATCATGATGTTACATTATAGTATTTATTTCTGGGAACATGTTTAAAGAAGTATTTCTTTCTAGTGTTTTCGTGACACTATTCCCTTTACCCTCCTCCTTATTAATAAAAACAGTAGATGACCCTACTCTGAACCTTAGGCTTATGATTCGTCAGTATTAGAACACCTAACACTTGAACCCAGAGCTCAGTGTATGTCAGGCACTGTATTAAACACCCTGCATACTCGATCTCATTTAATTCTTATGAAATTATTATGTTATAATTAGGTTAATATAACTATTATCTTATGATTATAATTATTATAGTTCTTATAACATTGTAAGAATGTCATCCAAATATAAAGTTGGAATAATAAAAAGATGAGGAAAAGACTGACTTCAAAGAAGTAATTTGCCTGAATTCACACAAATATTAAGTTCTTGTACCTACATGAGATTCCAGACTTGCCTGACTCTCCAAGCTACTCTTACTAACTACACTAATCTTATACAATGCCATCAATTTCAGAACTAGCTGGAAGTTTCTGCCTGTCAGCATTTGAAGAACAATAGCCCTTTGTCATTTGGCCACTAAATGGGCGCTACTGTCTGCCACTCGGTTTTCAGACATTGTCTTTTCTGTAGCTCCTCGCTCCCTTTCCTGTCTGCTCCTAGGCCTTGATCAGAATGTTCCTCTGTCCCTGTGGTTGGATCAGTGGGTTCAAACATTCTGTTTCCTCTTCCTCCTTCCTCTGTTATTACCCCCACAGGATTCTCATATAGCTTTCGTATGAGAAATGCAGTCATAGTATGAATGTCTGTGTCAAGAAAGACAGGTGTGATTTTGGAGGTAATTTTATTGTTTCTCTTGCTACTTGTTTTTCTTATTGTCAGCCTTCAAGATTCATCCACTTACATATTCAGTGTATTTTTAGGGTTTCCAAACCAAGATCCAAGATATTTACCTGGAGAGTGAAGAAATAGTCTGAATATTAAATACATATTATACACTTTCTTCTTAATGTCAATATTAAATAAATATCTGTTCCTAAGTATTTGTTGACTGTATGTCAGTGTCTGTTACCCTAGACACTAACTTTTTACTTCCACATAATCTTTTTCTGGTGAAAGTATTTTTTAAATATTAAAAATAAGTTTGCTCAATATAGTAATATACAGATTCACTTCAGAAAAAAATAATAATACAAACTGAAAAGAATTAGGAAATACATGCCAACAACAATCACTTTCAATACTTTTATGATTATCCTTCCAATGTTTTATTCATGTTTTTGAACTTAATTTTTTTCAGTTAACGCTATATAATAAACACTTCTACATTAATGGTTGTTAAAGATCAATAATAGTGGGTGTACAATAGCTTTAAAATCATACTTTCTATGTTGGACTCACTACTGCTAGCTTTTTGCAGTAACAGGCGAAGACTACGACAAACATCATTTGTGTATTTTTCTGTTCGTACATCCTTAGATGGTTCTTTATAGTCTCACAAATAGCATTTCTGATGGGCTGGGGGGCATTTTTCCAGATTTCAATTAAAAAATTATCATTTGATCAGTTAAAAGTTTGCAGGCTCTTGATCCAGAGGAGAGCCCTTCTGTTTGAAATTCAACATAATCAACAGTTTGCTCAAATCTTAACTCGTGAAAAGTGTGTCTCCTCTATTCAATACATACTGATAGAATACTGGCTATGGGGATACAAAGATGAATAAGAGCTTGTGCAGGGCAGATAGCAATTTACAGCAGTACGATTTTCTATTGGGTAGAACACGATGTTCTTGATAATCTGCAGCAGATCCGTGCGCAAAAGACCCACAGGCTGTGTTGAGGCCAGCGGAAGGCGTAACCACTGGTGATTATTCGAAATATTTCTTAAGGAGAAAGAAATGTACAGAAGTCTATACATTTTAATTTAATATTTAGTGTTGAGAAAAAGATACAACCCATAGCCTCTCTTATCTATCGATTACTCATGATTCTCATTTACATGGTGATGGGCAGTTTGCTTATGTTTAGCATGTAAATTCAGAGAAAATATCGTTTAACTCTGTACCAAAGAGAAATAGAAGGAATTTATAAATGATTTAAACAGCCAAAGTGTAGACAAAAAAAATTACACTAACGGGCCCTTTTGCTTAGACAACTGGGATAACTACACCATCTTCAACAAACTGGAATCACACCAATAAGCGGCGGCAGTGAAAGTGTTAAGGCCTGCACAGGCCTCTATACTGCAGTAGGCGGCGCAAAACCTGGGCAAGTTTTCAGGGAGTGCCTCAGACCCTTGCCAAGCAGGGCAGACGAGGCGCCGGTAGACCGTGAGCCGTTAAGAACGCCTGGAAGACAGCGCTCGCGTCATGCCGGGGAGCCGACGCACAAATCTACGTATCAAAGCTCTCCCTCGAGGCCCCGCCCACTCCTTACCCAAGAGCCCTGTGGTGGTCTCGGAGGAGGCGTGGCCAAGGGCAAGGAGGGGCGAATGCGCATGCGCACTGGGAACCCAGTCTTGTAGCCAACTATCAATCTCGCGAGTGTTGATAGTCGGTGGCGTAGGTAGTAGACCTGAATGCGGGCGAGATAGATGATATCTACTAGAGGAAGAAGAGGAGGCAGCCAAGCCAGTTCCCAGACTCTTCCCCTCTTTTGCTTTCCTTTCTTTTCCCCCCAACCCTCCGCCCTCCTGTGAATCGGCCCGCCTTCCCTGACCTCAGTGACCCGAGTGGCCCCGCCCACTCTCGTCGACGTGATTCCCGCCGTGGGGTAAAGCGCCGGTCGAACCCGGAGCCCCGCGGAAGAGGAGGACGACTAGAGGGGGAGGTTGCTGGGCCTGGTTTGGGCTCGTCGCCGAGCCGCGGCGCAGGGGGCTTTCGGGTAGTCCTCTTGCTTCTCCATCTGCTCGTTGCGACGTAGCCACCCAGGCCTAGGCCTCCTCCTCCTCCTCCCTGCCGGGCCCGTCCTCTGGCAGCAGCGGGTGACGCAGACGGAACATCATGTCGTCCGCGGCCGACCCTCCGCCACCCCCGCCTCCCGAGAGCGCGCCTTCCAAGCCCGCAGCCTCGGCCGCCGTCAGCGGGAGCAACAGCAGCAACAAAGGCGGCCCCGAGGGCGTCGCAGCCCAGGCGGCTCCCTCCGTGGCCAGCGCCGGCCCCGCGGACTCGGAGATGGAGGTGAGGGCGGCTCGTGGCGTGGAAAGAGGGCAGGATGGGGAGGAGGAACTGGTTCTCTCGCCTCTGTAGCAGTGATGAGACGCAGAGCCAAACTTCACCCCTTCGCACTCCAACTCGGCCTCAGACCCTTTGGGTCGGAAATGATGCTCTCACCCTTGCGCTTAAGCTATGCAGGCAACCTCAAGTGGGTTTCTGGCACTTCACATTTATATTATTTGTCTCTTTGGCGAACCTTGCCAAATCCTCGAACGCTCTTATTAGACACATGTTCTTGATTACTGAGGCCGAATGAGGAGCTACCTCTTTTTTCTTTTTTTTTTAAGAGCTGGACTCCCATAATTCCCTCGCGCATCTCTGAATCTCGATTTTACTTTCCGCTAAACTTGGGGGGAGGGCGAGGGAAATTTCCCTTTAGGAACGGGAGTAGACAGGCGGGGTGGAGAAGGCATTTAAAAGCAGCGCATCCGAGGATTTGGGCCTCCTTTTCTTCATCCCGTTCTTTGCGGGGGCGGTATGTGTTCCGCAGAAACAATGGCGAGGGCTGGATGGCCGAGGGCGCAGTGGGGATAAGCGGGGCACAGCTGCTCCCTCGAAGGGAGAGGAGGCTCCTCCCAGGCACTGTTCCATGGGGAAGGGAAGCGACCAAGGCGGCAGCAGCTGTCTTGAACCCCCCGTTTCATTTTGTGTGTGTGTGGGGGGGTGTGGTGGATGGATGGATGAATGAATTAGTGAGTGAGGGGGCGGGTAGTTTGCTCTCAGACCAGCGCATTTCCTCTTTGGGGGCCTTGGCCTTATTTTGAAAATTGGTACCGCTCTCTATGGCTCCCTACCTTCTGGCCTGGGGCTTGGCGGGTCAGGGAATGGTAACTACTGCGAGGGTGGAGAGATGGGGGAACTGCCAGGCGGGTCTCTTGGGTGTGCTCCAAGGTTTTGCGATGTCTGAGAACAAAGTGTTGCTTGCTCCTTCCAATTTTATTCTTGGCCTTCGATCTGTTTTGAGATATTTTATAGTCGCAGCCCAGAGATTTCTGGAATTTTTCCATCCTTGGATAGATTGAGCAAAGGTAATACTGCTTTAAAAGGGAATGTTGCTGCAGAATTAACACAATAAGGAAATGGTAGGGCAGTTTACCATAGAGCATTTGGCTCAGTATTTTTATTTGGGTGCTGTACTAAGTCTTAAGTCAGTTCAGTCGTGTCCTACTCTCTGCAACCAGCGGCCTTATCTAGGGTGAAGTAACTTGTTATTAATTTTTGAAAGAACTTTTAGGTCAGAGTGGGTTTTGGTGGACTAGGACCTTTGGTATTCTATAGCTTTCAGCGACTTGAAATTTGTTTTCAGCTCATGTCAGTGTTACTTGTTTTCTTTTTCTTTAGGTTTTAAATGATTCTTTTGAATTGCCAGGGTTAACTTGGATTGCCGCTTCCTGGTTTAAGGGGGTTTGAAAGTTTGACACTGAAAGCAATGGTACGAAATACGCAGTTCTCAGGGCTTCCCAGGTGGCGCTAGTGGTAAAGAACCCGCCTGCCAGTGCAAGAGACAAAAGAGACGTGGGTTCGATCCCTGGGTTGGGAAGATCTCCTGGAGGTGGGGCACGGCGACACACTCCAGTGTTCTTGCCTGAAGAATCGCATGGATGGAAGAGCCTGGCGAGCTACAAAGAGCCTGGTGGGATGGCAAAGAGTCAGACAAGGCTGAAACGACAGAGCACTCACTGCACTTCTCTGCAAATTGCTGTCCACTGTTGTCAGCCTCTCAAGAGGCTGTCATTCAAATTTTGGAGTAGCAACCAAAGTCTCACTAGAAGTGTTAAGGAAATACCAGAAAGCAGAATAATTTAAAGCCTAAACTAAATATTTTGGCTTTCAGTTGCTGTTTTTAAGGTAAAGTGGAATTAGAGTTTAACTATGAATATTAATGTTGTAACAAGTACCCGATGACTGTCAGTAGTAGTTTTGCCAGATGGGTAGATTGAGTCTTCTTGTAAGTAGAATCTGTGATAGAACCCACATGTGGCTGTGAAGCTGCTGCTGCTAAGTCGCTTCAGTCGTGTCCGACTCTGTGCGACCCCGTAGACGGCAGCCCTCCAGGCTCCCCCGTCCCTGGGATTCTTAAGGCAAGAGCACTGGAGTGGGTGGCTCTGAAGCTGACCCTTCCCCAAATATCTTGCCCTGTCATATTTTTACCAAAAATGTGTTGTTTAACAGTTGCATTGATTGAAAAATGGCTTCATTATTTTTCGCCTTCTCAGGATAGTAACATCAGTGATTTTATATTTTATCAGTCTTTTCACTGACTGGTTTTTGTTTTTTCCTTCACATTATAGTGTGATTTTTTTTTTTCTTTTTAAGTTGCATTTTTCCAAAATCATTTATTTTCTGACAAAGCCCACTTTCCTGGGAACATTAGTTAGCTTTCCTATGTATTAGATTAATTTTTTCTTTTTGGTTGGTATTGGTAGGCGTTGGGAGCAGTCACATTTTTTTATTAGTGTGATCTTTTTGGCAACGTGAATGGGGCCTGTCTTGGTCATTCTCATTTCTGATACCTACCTGGACTGATAGGTAGGTACACTATATACCAATAACCATATGACCTCAAGAGTCCTAAATCCAAATCATTTGCCTGTTTTAGTTAAGACTGTGAAAGAAATACTCAACTTTTCATGGTATCCCAGTACCATTTTCTGAATTATTCTAGATAGGTGGCTCTTTCACTTTTACTCTGGAGACCAGAGATTTGTGATGAGCTTAAGGTTACACACGTTCATAAAGGTCTTAGCACTGAAGTTAGACTTGAATTTGGGTCATTTGATTTCTTAATATTAGTGCTGTACCAGGCCCATCCCCTCAGCTTTTTAATCATAGGTAACTTTGTTATAGTATGTAGCACCACAGACCAGTACATCATTAATGAAAATTGTACTTTTCACCAGCTCTTCTTGAGTTCTTTTAATTGATGGGCGGAACTTTGCAGTGAAGTTGGTGCTGTTTTTTTGGTTTTTGTGACTTTCTGAATGTCAGGGTGAATAAACTTGCAAAAATAGCACATTTATTATCAATTAATCAAATTGTAGTTAAAGTATTCACTGTAGGGTGCATGATGAATTTTTTTAATGTTTTAGATGGAAATTCAGGGTGACTGTGTGACTTCCCAAGTATACATTTGGGTAGTAGTACAGTAGACATTGCAGTTTTATTAAAAGGGAACATTTCCTTCACAATTTATATTGCTCAATTTCGCTTAATAATTTTTGGTTAGAAAACAAAACATATTTGCTTTAAGTATTTTTGTTCTAGGATGTTGGAGATAATAACCTTGTGCTTTAATCTTGGCAGTGGCCATGCGGTTTACGTATTTGGGTTAAGTGAATTGTTATTATTGTCATATTTTGCATCAAGGTTTCCTATGAGATAGGCTGCCATTTAGGTATCTAGGAATTCAGGGCAGGAGTGTATTACTTTGAATGTGTTTTGGGCTGAAATCAGTGTAATAATGGTATGTTGAGTATTCTTGAAGAACAAACCATGGTTTTTCCCTCTTACCAGGAAGTATTTGACAATGCATCTCCCGGAAAGCAAAAAGAAATCCAAGAACCAGATCCCACCTATGAAGAAAAAATGGTATGTTCTAGGTATATGAATAATCATAATAGTTTTTTATTAGGTGATTAAATTTACTGAAGTTGAGGCACAGATATCTAATTTAAATATGTGTAACGTGGAGTACTGTAACTTTTTTATATTATTCGACTTACTTGATTATGTAAAGCAAATACAGATGTATTTCATGAATTCACATAGTATATAAATATGTGGATTATATTAATATTCCTTTTTAGATTTAGCATTGGGAGTGAGATAAAAGACCAGAGAAGTAACTATTCAAGATGTGTTTATTCTGCATCTGTCTAGCATTGTACTCTACTGGTTATAAAGCGAGTAATACATGTATAATTTATAATAACATATACACTATATAATGAGCTTCCCAGGTGGTTCAGTGGGTAAAGAATCTACCTACAATGCAGGAGACACACATTCGATCGCTGGTTAGGGAACATCCCCTGGAGGAGAGCATGGCAAGCCACTCCAGTGATCTTGCCTGGAAAGTCTCATGGACAGAGGAGCTGACAGTCCATAGGGTTGCAGAGTCTGACATGACTGAAGCAACTGAGCACGCACTCACGCACGTATGCTTACAATATAAAATACAGAAACATATAGTATATAGAATAGTAATATTTCTTGCCTACTGCCTTTTTATAATATGGATGAAAGCTTTACAAAAGAGAATATGAATATTATACTTGCAAAAGATCCAGCTCACATTTCACATCCTCTTGGGAATCTTTATTTTACCATGAGTTAACCAGTACCTACAAAGAGCTTTGAATTTAAGTTTAGATTAAATAATAATGACTGACAGTGAATGAATAGTATGTACTGGGCCCTGTTCTATGTGCTTTATATAGATTAAACTTAATTTTTTTTTAATCTTAAAAAGTTAAAATAGCATGTGTAAGAATATCATCACTACACAATACAGTATCCTCCTTAAGAGTGGAAACAGTGTCTTAGTCTTTCTGTCTTCAGTATCCAGAATAGTATCTGGCTCATAGAATACTGATTTTAACAAGTATTACTTTCCCCTTGTTCTTTGACTTTCTCATCAATATCAGCAAATATTTTTGAAATTTCTAAAAATAGCTTCAAAGTCCTAAAAGTTGCATATATGTATCTGTATACACATATATAATGTACATAATGCATATTGTAATATGTGCAGTATAAGTGATTTATTACTCTCTATGATTTCTGTTACGTTTTGTATATATACATTTTGTGTATATCTGTAACTGTCCTGTCACCTTTCTTTGCTGTCAGTCTTATTTGAAGAAAAGATGTTTTTCCATTTTTACTTTTCCCAGTCATTCCTCTAAATCTTCACAACTTAGATTCTGTCATTAACACTATATTAGTGATTCTCTACTTGATCTTAGCCAAAAGGCTAAGAAGTGATACACTAGTAATTTTAATGGCCAATTCTTTGGCTTATTTTTAGTTACATTCTTCTTAATCATACTTGTATTTGACACCATTGGCCACTCCACAAAATTTTTTCTTGCCTTGAGAGATCTTTTTTCTTTGATGATACCTTATTTACTTGATTATTTGTTTGTCCTTCATTACATTTTGAACACTTGTTCTTGGACAGTTTTAGCCTTGTCACTGGTTTTCATCTGCCACGTTTAAATGAGTACTTCTGAATATTTAGCTCAGATGCCTCCAATCATTGTATTTTCATTTGCTTGTTGAACATTTAAATCCCTTTGGTAAGTCTTATTTAGGAATATCCAAAATTGAATTCATTATCTCTTTCCCACGCAGTTATTTAGTGTTCTCTCAATGAATGAAAGTTTTTCATAGTAAATACCCAAGCTGTTTATGACAGTTTGTCATAGTTTTAATAGTCTTGGCAGATTTAACTTCATAAATACTTCTTTTATCTTTTCCCCATCACCCTAGTTCATTATTCTCTGTTTCATGAATTATTTCATTGGCATCTTCATTTGGCTCCGTTCTCATGATCTAGCTTCTTCCAGATCTGTGTTTTTGTGAAGTCTGTGACACTGATCTGGTTATATAATGGAGGTTTTCAGTGATTCTTTACAATGCTTCTCATCTCCACAGCTCCCTTTATTGCAATTATTTTTCTCACTTCCTACAAATTTTTCAGTCTCCTACTTTAATTTCCTTTTTCAAAATCATGACCTTGACAGGCAGTTTTCTTCTGAGCAGACTCCTTATCATCTGCTAGATCCTGTTCATAGGTAAGTCTTGATACTCACTTTTTATTCTTGAACCCAAGATGCCAAGTACTGCTTGTGAAAACTAAAGTAATTACTCTGATTGGTACTGGGATAAATATATGGTTTTCACTTTCTTTGGCTTTTACTGTGTTATTTCTAACAATCCTTTAGCCATTCTAATCCTTTGCCACTCTGATTAAGTTTCTACTTCTTTTCTGTCACGTTCTCACTTTCAGTCTTCCTCCACAAAGAATTATAGGTCCATTGTCAATTGATTTCCTCTTTATTTCCAAACATGTATGGCTTCCACTATTCTGGTCATTTTCTTAGAGAAAGATGCTTTTTCCAAGGCTATTGATTTTAACCTTTGCTTTAATTTTACGATTCTTTTTTTTTTTAGGTTCTTGATATTGTTTCTGCTCTTTAGGAAGTAGTTTTTCTCCTTACACTTCTTATTTTAATTGAAGTATAGTTGATTTATAATGTGTCTATCTCTGCTATACAGAAGAGTGATTCAGTTTAACACGTGTATACAATCTTTTAAATATTCTTTTCTGTTATGGTTTATTTTAGGGAAGTTGGATATAGTTCCTGGTGTTATACAGTAGGACCTTTGATGTTTATTCATTCTAAATGTAATACATTGCAACTGTCAGCTCCAAATTCTCCGTGCATCCCTTTCCTCCCCTCCTCTGCCTTGGCAACCGCAAGTCAGATCTCTGTGTCTTGTTTTGTAGATAGTTTCATTTTCTTTGCACCTCTTTTGTCATTTTTATCTTAACGTTTTCATTTTTCAAGCAATGAGGTCTTTGCCTGTTAATCCCCTTAAACCTTTGCTGCAGTTCTACTGAAAGCTTACTCTGTAAATTAGAAACTCCTTGTTTTTTTGCAACAGTTTATAACTCCACCACTACTTGAATCAGTGAGAGGATTTTGGAAATTATGATATCTTTTGTAGAGCTCTCGTGAAGTTTATACTTCGATCTTTAAGATAGTAGTTCTCAGACTTGACCTTGTAGAAGATAACAAAGATTTTGGATATTTCTGATCTAATGGATCATGAACCACAGTTTGAAAAAATACCATCTTAAGACAGCTAGAACCATTAAAGGATCTTGAGCACTAGAGAGGTGTGATAAGGTCTAAGAATTGGGAGGACTCCTCCCTTCTCTGAAACATCATCTCTTGCCATTTTCCTAATCATCCTGCTTAAAATTTGGTGCTATTTCCACTTCCCATGTGTTCTTACTGTGCTTTATTTTTACTTCTGAGTTTTTGTTTTCTGACAGTCTTCGTAATTTACTTGTTATGTTTTATTTTCAATATTGTACTGTAATGAAAACTTCATAAACAAAATACTTTTTCTGGTCTGCACACAAAAGTATTTTTTGAATTGAGTAGACATTTAAGAAGAAAATGTTGATTTGAAAATGTTTTTAAAGAAGAGTATATATATTCAGTGACTTGAGTACTGTAGAGTAACTTTTGCTTTAAAATATCTTACCCTCTGACCTATCTGAATTTATTTCCAGAGCTTATTTATCTTGATCCAAACATAATTACAATAATAGAATAGTCTTTTTAAAATAGCATCATTTTCTCATTGCATGTTTTTGGTTTTTCTTTTACTGTATATGTATTGGAAAATAAAATTGTGCAAAATACGTATATATGGATCTCAGTTCAATACTTTAGAGCAGAAACGACTGAAGCTTGTCGTTGGTAGGACATTACTGAGGAGAAGCACGCTGACAGCTTGTTGTCCGTGGTGTGGATTGGGCTGCATTTCATCCAGTGACACGCTGTCTCCATGTGGCTTCAGTATCAAACTGGGCTTCAGTTTTACATTGGTGTGATGTTTGAAAATTATGTTTTCATTTAAAAAGCACATCCTTTGGTGTTTGCTAGGTAAAGTGTTTTGTGATTCATTGTAAAGTTGACATTTTAAACATTTTGGTCTTCCGTTCTCTTTGTGTGATAATAGGAAACAATCAAATTAGCAGATCTTAGATATGAAAATAAGAAATGGTATTAAGAACTACATAGGGTTAATGAATATTTCATGAAATTAATAGATGTTTTTCAAGCCTGATAGCGTTTTAAAATTTGGCACAGCATTTCCCCCTCTTCTGAATAAATACACCTGTATTGCAGTGTCTTTATTTTTTTAATATTTTTTCTTCAACTACATTCAAGTATAACTGACACACAGTAGTTTAATGTTTTTAGTTCAGTGAGTTTTGGCAAATAGCTGAGGCCATTTAAACACCGTACAGTCAAGATGTAGAACAGTTCTATCATCCCCGAAATGATTGCTCCTGCTCTCATCCCTTTGACGGTTCAGATCTCCTTTCTGAGAAATCACTATTTAGAATTTCATAGAGAAAATCACTACTTAGAATTTTGGATTGTATAATATGTAGTTTCATGTTTGCTTTCTTTCGCATAGTATAATACTTTTGAATCTCATCTGTGTTCTTGCATGTAGCAGTAGTTCCTTTTTATTGCTGATTGTTGTATGGAGATGTTGAGATTTTGATTTCTGAATTTTTATTGATATTCTGATAAAATGTGTTTTCACATTTCTTCCAGCAAACTGACCGGGCAAATAGATTTGAGTATTTATTAAAGCAGACAGAACTGTTTGCACATTTCATTCAGCCTGCTGCTCAGAAGACGCCAACCTCACCTTTGAAGATGAAACCAGGGCGTCCACGAATCAAAAAGGATGAGAAACAGAACTTGCTATCAGTTGGCGAGTGAGTAATAGTTGATAGCTAATAGTTGAACCAGACTTCATTAGAAGCACAAAATCATTTTATTAAAAAAATAGTTATAGTGCTATTATTTATGTGGCCCAGTTGGCTTGGCAGGATATAGCCATACATGTATAAATAAATAAAAATAGGCATAATGGTTTTATTTTTATATGGATTGAGTAGGGAATTCAGATGTTACCTTCTCCTTGGAGTGAAAACAAATGCAAAGGTTAAGTGGCCTACTTAATATCATCTAGAAAGAATTAGAATAATCTGACTTTGAACTTAGATCTGACTTGGGGCATTCTCTAGTCTCCTAAACCATGTATGTGAATTGAGAGGACTTTTATCTGAAGTCTCTGTTTGTGTGTAGATGGTATGATTTATGTCATGGTAGTCTGCTTAAAATTTTTGTTATATACTTAATTTCTTTATATAAAGGGAAATGTCAAGTTGTATGGTGCTATTGTTAGGTGGTGGTGCAAAATTTTTCAAGTAATTCTTACATGTTGAATTATAGATTCATTCTTAGAATTTGTTCTGGTTGGATAACTAAGATGTTTGGTGGTGGTTTAGTTGCTAAATGCTAAGATGTGTCCAACTCTTGCGACCCCATGGACTGTAGCCTGCCAGGCTCCTCTCTGTCCATGGGATTTTCCAGGCAGGAATACTGGAGTGGGTTTCCATTTTCTTCAGGGGATCTTCCCGACCCAGGAATTGAACCTGTGTCTCCTGTATTGCAGGCGTAGTCTTTACCAGCTAAGCTCTGAGGGAAGCCCTAACTAAGATGTTTGGTTAGTAATAATAAATTTAGGGCACTCTCATTGCTTGAAAGTAAGCGTTAACTGAAGTAACAAAGCATATGCCAACTTTTATCTTTAGTTTAACAACCACAATAATCAGTCATCTTGATAATACATTGTGAAGGAGATATTATTTTTTTAAAAAAGCAAAGTTAAGATTCTCTCTTAGTTTATGGAGAGAAACTTGGGGTTGAGGGGTAGATCTATGAATTAAGTTTTCATAAGATTGGAGTGCAGAGAAGCACAAGAAGTAAACACATGTGACAAGCAGGAAGGGACTTCCCAGGTGGTCCAGTGGCTGAGACTCCACACCCCCAGTGCAGAGGGCCTGGGGTCCACTCCTGGTCAGGAAACTGTAGATCCCACATGCCGCAACTAAGAGTTTGCATGCCACAGCAAAGATCAGAGATCCTACATGCCACAGCCAAGATCCGGTGCAACCAGATAAATATGAAAAAAAAAGCGCTATTAAAAAAAAAATCCTTGGATTTTTATTGCCTTCGCTTGCATTTCTGAGGAATGTCTCTCTATCTGGGAAGGCTGATTATCTTTCCCACAAAGCATGTAGTTTTAATAGAAATCAAGCAATAATTTAGATTTAGAGACCACAAGAGTGGAATATAATCTACTGTTTTCTAATTTGAATGAAAATATTTGTTGAAAGTATACAGGTATAATTGGAAATTTGAAAACTGGGGAGTAAGTAGTTTTACTAACCTGAGTCCTTTAGAGATTAAGAAATCTGGCAATATTATAGCTACAAAAATTTAGTTTTTAGGAGACTGTATCTGACTGTGTTGGGATGTAAAATCTGGGCATGTGTATTTAACAAGCTTTAAGTAATTCTGATGAATCTGTAGTTAAAGATGTCATTGCCTAAGCCCTAAGTCTCTGTTCTGCAAATTCTGCAGTTTTTGGTGAAAGTTATAGTTTTTAAAATGTGATTTCTGGGGGAACTATTTTTGGGGTGGGAGCAAAATACTTAACATTAAAATATGAACTAGGAGGTTTTTCTTACTGCATCTTTCATTGAAATTAGATGATCACATTTATGTTTATCAGGTTCTGGTTAACCTAAGGTATTACTCTATAGTCTTCATTTACATGCCTTTTAAGACCCTGTGAAATACTGGTCAGCCTGTTGACTCTTATGTTGAAAGCTGGTAATCAAAGCCAAGACTCACATCACTTGGTTTCATTTTAAACCTGGCAGCTATCGGCACCGAAGGACAGAGCAAGAGGAAGATGAAGAATTACTAACGGAGAGCTCCAAAGCGACCAACGTTTGCACTCGGTTTGAAGACTCTCCGTCATGTATGTTGTGCATATTTAATTCCTTCATCTTTAAAACATCTCCTTGTAGCCTTTGGTTAATGTTGGGGTTTTTCTTGGCTGTAATTTATAAAGGGAATTTTAAGTAATCTTTTAAAATTTATTGATTGTAAAATGAACTTCAGATACTTTTTGGCTAGAAGTGATGGTGTATCATTTTGATAGTGATGCTGTATTTCAAAAGGGCATAAAACACCACTGTGCTTGTTTCCTGAATGTATATGTAAAAATGGGAATAGAATTTGCCGTGTATTTGCCCCAGGAAGAAAGATGTGTAGGAAAACGTACTTGTTAAAGACTTTGTTTACTCATCTCCGGATTTTGTATTTGTTTTAAAGTTTGTAAATGGTTTTCCAAAAGAAAACATGGTTAACCAGGTTTAGGTTTTACTTACATATAATCTTGGGTTTCCCAAGTGGCATTAGTGGTAAAGAGCCCGCCTGCCAGTGCAAGAGACTGACACATTGGTTCGACCCCTGGGTCAGGAGGTCCCCTGGAGGAGGGCATGGTAACCCACTCCAGTATTCTTGCCTGGAGAGTCGAATGGGCAGAGGAGTCTGACAGGCTGCAGTCCATGAAGTTGCAAAGAGTAGGATACGACTGAAGCGACATAGTATGCATGCGTGTATAATTTTGGTTGTCTGGTGGCACAGTTTTCTTTACTGAAGGCCAGTAATTTTTTTCCCTCTGACCTCCTTTGTCTTTCTCACTTGATGACAAGTTTGTATGATCATAGTGGTTGTGAGCAAAAAAAAAAAAAATTTATAATAGTATAGGATTCACAATTTGGATTGGTTGTTTTAATAATTAACTGTCACCTTGAACTCTTAGCAGACTAAACTTCAGGGAGGATAGGATCTGGTTAGAAATGCACCAGTCTGGTTAAAGTATGTATCTCCAAATTTTTTTTTTTCTTTTGGCTACAGAGTACCCAGTTTTCATTTCTTATAATGAAGGTAGAGGCCAGGGCCAGATTTGTGGTGCAGAGAGAAAGTAAATTTGAAGTATTTGAGTTGTCTCTTCCTCATATTCTTACAGTGTAACCAGTTTTCCTAGTGTTGATTAACGTTTCATCTCAGAGCAGTGTTTGTCAAAGGGGATGGAGTATAGAATATACATTTTTAAAAAGATGTATTTTTTTTAAAAGTTGGGTTATTTGTGATCCATATATTTAGCAGTTATTCTGGGATGGGAAATGTATAGTAAACCCTGAAAAAGATATTGTTCCTCTTTGTAGGACCTCTTGAAAGGGTAAAGGAAAAACAGTCTTTTATTAATAATTTATATTTATTTCCCCTTTGTTAAGAGAAAAACACAGTCCCCAGTGAACCTCTGTTTTGGTCATCAGGGAAGGTGAAAACACTTGTTTAGAAACACTTGTGCAGACATTGAAAAAGGAATTTGGTCAGAGAGTCCCTAAGACCGATACATGGTAACGTAAGGCCTGAGTGGCCGGGCATCACCGTCATGTTTCTTGTCTTCCGTATCCATCTGCTCCTTCTTTGCTCCACACCACAGTAGCTACCTTTCCTAACGCGGGACTTGCAAAACTCCCATTCTTAAAATCTAGTGAAGAAGGCACGGTCAGAATAAAGAGGTGTAGGCCCACGTTAAACCTCTGCGTATCAAGTGAAGGAAGGGCTGCCCACTTGTATTTCTTGTCTTTAAAATGTGCATGTCATTTTTCTTTTGTTCTTAGATGTAAAATGGGGTAAACTGAGAGATTATCAGGTCCGAGGATTAAATTGGCTCATTTCTTTGTATGAGAACGGCATCAATGGTATCCTTGCAGATGAAATGGTATGTGTTTGGTAGCTTTTGTAGAGGTCCACATTTTATAATTTAAAACCTTGTATACCATTTAGATTTATAAAAGATTTGTAAGATATAGTTTATTGATTATACTATAGACTGTTAGCAAACTAATCCTGTGTCACACTAATAAAGCTCACTTTAGTTGCCTAAGTGGGATCTACATCTATATACTTCAATTGTGAGAAATTAGCTATGAAAGTGTAATAAATTTAAAAATAATACATTTTGAGAAGCATGCCTTTGGTTGACTTTTGTAATACAATGATCTGACCATCTCCCCTTGCTCCCTTCCCCCCACTTCTGTGAGACACATGGGGGATTAATGGAATGTTATCAATAAATATTTTCTCTCTGATGGCACGTTGTACAGTTCTATCTTGTAAAACATTATATCTTGTTTACTATTGACTAGTTATATAGTGAATGTTTTAAGTTTCTCTATAGCTGCAGCGCTAAGACAACTGCTTGGAGAAAGTAATGGAGTCAAAAGAAATAGGTCTCAATTCTAGCTCTGCTGGGTGACTCTGGGAAAGCTTGTATCTGAGCTTTGTGGAGGTGGTAATGGTACATCCTTCACAGACTGGTGAAGGTTAAATGCCATAACGCTTGCACATTTGACACATATCAAACTCTTGCTATTTGTTAGGTGTACATACAACTTTTCTTTTAAATGTTTCTGTACCAGTCAGGAAATATAAATGCAGGAGTCTGTTTTGTTGTCTGTTTCATTGCTTTGTGGTTATTTTTTCTTTCAGGGCCTGGGAAAGACACTTCAAACAATTTCTCTTCTTGGGTACATGAAACACTATAGGAACATTCCTGGTCCTCATATGGTTTTGGTGCCTAAGTCTACGCTACACAACTGGATGAGTGAATTCAAGAGATGGGTGCCAACGCTTAGATCTGTTTGTTTAATAGGAGATAAAGAACAAAGGGTGAGTTTCTCATATTCATTACATGTTTGCTGTTAAAAGAATTTGAATTTAGGTTGGGGAAAGGGGATAACTAGAGGAGGGATAAAAGAAGAGGAAGGGTCTCAGTAATAAGCCTGGTCTTCATAAATATTAGTAATTTGTAAGTGGAATGTTAGCTTGATGGCTAAGATTCATACTGGGGAAAAAGGAATTGTAGACTGTAGAAAGCTATAAGAGTATAGTTTGTTTCTCCTGCTTTTTGGGGGTGGTTATAAAGTTGAAGGCTTTATTCCCATTCTAGAGCAATTTCTTCATAAGAATGTAAGTGGTAAAAATGTAAATAGTAACTTGACAAGTTGGTATCATATTGATGAGAATAAGTTAAAATATTGATCAGTTAATACATCCTTTTTGGGAGCAGAAATGGAAATAATGTGGGCTTCCCTAGTGACACAGCGGTAAAGAATGTTTGATCCTTGAGTCCTGAAGATCCGCTGGAGAAGGAAAAGGCAACCCACTCCATATTCTTGCCTTGAAGATCCTGTGGACAGAGGAGCCTTGTGGGTTACAGTCCATGGAGTCACAAAATCAGGCAACTTAGAGACTAAAATAACACCACCAACAATGGAAATAATTGACACTATTAAGAATATAAAATTTGGATTAAAAAATGGACTCATAATGTATCGAAGGACTATGTATTAAATTTTGTTTTCCCTTCATTCAGCTATCAGTGATGATTAGATTTCTTTTCTTTTCTCCCTTTTTAGCTGCTTTGGGTATTTTTAGTTACAGAATCCTTACTATGCTTTGAAACCCAGTGGTTTAACCAGTCTTTGCTTTAGTTTCCTCAGCTGTAAAATGAGAAAATTCATAGCAATGTCTTAATAGATCTATAAACTTAAAATGAATGAAAATGCTTACTGAAAACTAACCTTTAGTCCTTATCTATCTTTATGTCAGAAAACTCTTTATCCTTTTCTAAACCTGTGTCCAAAAAATTTCAACACTTAGTGGCATTGTGGAAAGGAGACATTTTAAGAATTAGTCTATTGACTTCTGCACCAAAGAATTTTGTCAGTTATTTATTACATGGCTGTGACAAGATTGATGGTTACTTTGAGCTAGTTCTAGCTGCTTGTGTACTATAGATAACTCTTAATTCTTCTTTCTTTTTTAATATTCCCACCCCCCTTTCTATAGTAGATTATGTCCTTGTCATTAGTAAATTTAATATATAGTTTATTTCTGCATGATGGAATTTATTTTCTTTTGTCAAACAGGCTGCTTTTGTCAGAGATGTTTTGTTACCAGGAGAATGGGATGTATGTGTAACTTCTTATGAAATGCTTATTAAAGAAAAGTCTGTTTTCAAAAAATTTAATTGGAGGTACTTAGTTATTGATGAAGCTCACAGGATCAAAAATGAAAAATCCAAGGTAATTTGATGTTTAGATTTGAAAATCATTTGTGCCTTAGTTTAGAATTTGATCAATATGCAGAATATTCATTCTAATGATGAATTTGTTTTTTCAGTTGTCAGAAATAGTGAGGGAATTCAAGACTACAAATCGACTATTATTAACTGGAACACCTCTTCAAAACAACTTGCATGAGCTTTGGTCACTTCTTAATTTTTTGTTACCAGATGTCTTTAATTCAGCTGATGTAAGTATTTTTACTATTTTCTTGGAGTAATATTTTGATACTAAATATTTTTGTAATAGAACTGGCCTGCTTCAAGAAACATACAAATTTATATAGAAAGATCAGAATTTTAGTTATCGGAGGGGGGAACTAGGGGAGAAGCAGAATTGGATGAAGGCAGTTAAAAGGTACAAAGTTCATTGTACTTATTTATCTTCCATTTATAAGATAATTAAGTACTTGAGATGTACAGCATGATAAATGTAACACTGCTGCGTGTTATATATGAAAATTGTTAAGAGTAAATAACAACAACAAAAACAAACAAAAAAAAAACCCCAAAACAAAAAAAAGGTAAATAACAATAAATCCTAAAGTTCTCTTCACAATATTTTTTCTGTTAAAAATTTTATATCTGTATTAAATGATGGATGTTCTCTAAACATGGTCATTGCGCTGTACACTTTAAACCTCATCCAGAGCTGTCAGTTTATCTCAGTAAAACCAGAAGGATTAAAGAGTTTGGCCTACCTTTCGTACTGCTTGAGGCAATCATTACTTTTTCACTCTTTTAGGCAGTTAGCCTCATGTAACCAACCAGGTTTTTTTGCACCCCGAGAATTCATTTACCTCTGTGCCTTTGATTTCAGGCTCATTTTTGAAGTCATGGCTTGTTCTGTCTGGAATGTCATAGATTTGCATTCTTATCGGGTGGTCATGCTGGCCTGACACTGCTCTAGGTAGACTGCTTTCGTTCTTAAGGTGGTGCTCAGGATATTCCCCAAGTGAATTTGGGCACTTCCTGTTGCCTGAGGAAGTCAGGCAACAGGATGGCCTCTTCCCAGGATGGCCTTCAAATTTGGTGAGGTCTGTCTAGCCATATTTTCTTTTGGTCTAACAAGCATAGAGACTTAATCCTTACCTTTGATGGGTTATTTGTGGTGATAGAAATGGTTGATTGACAATTTGAACTCTTGGTTGCTCTTAACAAAATGTACATTATGTCAGCAGTCTGTGCAGTTAGTAATTTTGGTATTCTCTCAGGCTCGACTTCATTTTTGAACCTTTGCTCCCATTTCTGGAGAGAGTGTGTGTGTGTGGCTTTGAAGAGCTTATTCAAATAAGTAAAAAGGTGTTAATTTTGATTGGGTGTGTTATGTAAGGATCATTTTAAGAGTAGATTTTACTATTTTTATTTTTACATTTTAAAATTTTTTTGAGAAGATTGTATTCTTGAAAGGCAATTTAATCAGTGTCAGCCAGCTCCTTTAGTTCTGCTTTTACATATTTTGATTTTCCTTTTTGAGATAATTTTTCTTACCCCATTGACGTGTTTATTTGTTTAATAATCTCTGTTAAAACTTTGTTTTAGTTGACACAGTTCTAAGATTATGTTTACTAAGACAGCAAATACAGTTAATGCTTGAACAATAGAAGTGGGTGGGTCCACGTGCATGAATTTTTTTTCAGTGGTAAATACTACAGTTCTGCATGATATGCAGTGGTTAACCTGACTATAAGTTACAAGTGGATTTTCAGTTGCATGGAGTGTTGATGCTCCTAACCTCTGTGGTGGTCAGGGGCCAACTGTATATAATACACATGCTAAAGAGGTAAAGCTAGGGAAACTGTCCTTTTTAAATCCTACCCAAATACTAATGAAATGTTGGTATTCTCAATTTTACTTTCAGTAAGTTTAACAAAAATTGACGTTGCTCTAGAAACCTGGTGTTTGAGGTGTATGAGTGGTCTTAGCGAGCAAACTGTAAAGTGGTTTTAACCTTTAAGATTTTCTGAAACAAATTTTTTTTTTTTCAAGAATATTGATTTTCATATCTACAAACTGTCTCCAATTATTTTTTTTTCATTTTGAAACTTGTCATCTTGATGTTTAGGAAATACATGATTCTAAAATGAATTGCTAACAATAACACACATTAAAAAAAGGAACTAAGTGATTTTTGCAGTTCACAGTTCAAATATTAATTGAGAAGTTGCAATGTGCTATATAACCTAGCATAGTAAGGTGTTTGCAGTTACTATTAAGAACATGAATTTGAGCAATCGGGGAGGTTGTGAAGGTCCGGAGGCTTGGTGTGCTGCAGTCCATGGGATTGCAGAGTCTTGGACACGCCTTAGCGACTGAACACACACAATGTTACTATTATCTCTAATCTTGATGTATTTTTTTGTTTGTTAATCTAGGACTTTGATTCCTGGTTTGATACAAATAATTGCCTTGGGGATCAAAAGCTAGTTGAGAGGCTTCATATGGTAAGTATTTTGGAGTAGGGTTAAAAAAGCATGTTTCTAATGGGAAAAATGATACAGATTAGTAGATTATTTTTCTGTTAACAAAAAGCACAGTGGCTTTAGAGTCAGATCTGTTTGAATCTGCCCACTTTCGTTCTTATTCTTATGATGGGAGGAGAGGGTAATGTATGGCAGTTTCAGTCTTAGAACCTAGGGTGAAATTCTAACTTAGTAAATTAATTAATTAATCCCTTAGAGTTAATGTACAGTGAGGGGAAGAAGAGTTGCATAAGAACTTAACATGAACAAGTTTTGGAATCTTTAGTTCTGTTTAACCTTCCGTAGGAGAATCTAACAGATTTGCTTCTGAAAGGCTAAAGGTCCATCTGTTGCTCTTAAATCAATTGTGTACAAGCAACTGCTAATAGTGCAGTGTGAACAAAGTTGATGTTTTTACTGTGACATACAGCTTTGTTCCTTCCTGTGAAGATTCACAAGTGAAAGTTGGTAGGAAGATAGAAATTTCTCTAACAGACCCCAGATTATAATACCAGGACCAGTAGGATAAAGCATGTAAGCATGACATACAAGGCCTTTCATGACCTAACTCAGGGTTTCTCAACTTGTGTTGACCTTTGGTGCAGTTTTTGGAGGATGGGAAGGTGGTTTTCTTGTTGAGTAGCAGCATTCTGGACATTTCTGCTCAGTATATGCCAGTAGTAGGCCCTCATTTGTGACGATCAGAAATGTTTCAAGGCCCTAGAAACATGTCCTGTGGGGCAACATCACTCCTCCTCCAGAGAGTTAATGTTTCTGTTAACAGTGTTCTCCAGCTGCTGATTCACTTCTTAGTCAAGCTTTACTTTGCTAAAATTGCTGACCCCACTGTCGGTTTTCTATAACCACTGTGCTAATTTCTGCGTCTCTGCTTATCTTTTCTTCCACATCTAGTATTCTCTTCCCTGCCTTTACAGATAATACTTCAGCCAGGATTCGGTGGTGATGTCACCTTCTCCATGAGTACCCAGGCTGAGGCCAGCCTAGAGACTCCTCTCTAGCCTGTCTTTAATAATCCAACATTCTAACATTATAGGACTTTGCACAGGCTACTGAAATGACTCCTTTACAAATGCTTTCCCTCTGGATTGTAAACACAAAGGCAGGATATGTCTTATATTTGCCTTTGTATCCCTAGCATAATGCCTGGCTCAAAGTGGATATTTGATGAAGGGGAAAAATTTAAAACTTTTGAGTATTCAAATATTTGTGTATAAATTAATTTTAAGGTTCTCTAAAATTCTGTGTACTGAAATTTTATTTTTCTACATGTTTTAAGGTAATGGTCTCCTAGACACCTTTGTTTCAGTTTAAATGGCATTCAAGCATGTAAGCACTCAATTTAGATTTATTTGTTCAGAGGGTTGTGGGGTGTATGCGTAGACTTTGCTTAATAAATAGATAGGTACATGTAGGTAAAGCATACTAAAGCACAACAGAATACCAGTTCTGGCATTTGTTTATTTTACTTAGATAGTAGCATAAAGATGCTTCTCAAATCGGGGGAGGGGGTACAGGTCCGGTAGCTGCCTCTCCGCGCTGTCCTGAGATTCCCACTGTAGCTCCTGTGTCTTGTAATGAAAGAGTGTGTTCACAGTCACATGGTGTACTTGGGCCTGAGAGAATTCTTCCTTGATAAAGGCGTTTTCTTCAGTTGTAAACAGCCCCGCACCAGAGCCTACCTTGTGTATGTCAGCCCCAGGATTCGCGGGTCAGCTGAGTGAGCTCTTTGCTGGTTTTGCCCAGTTTTCCCCAGCCGCATGCACATAGACAGCTCTGGGAGAGGGCTGTGGGGCCGAAGGTCCTCGCTCACATGCTGGCAGTTGGTGCCGGCTTCTGGTTGGGCTGCACCAGCTTCCTTACGGGGTGATACTCAAGAAGCGTTGCTTATTTTCTCAACAGTTTTTGTTGTTCGATCACATTTTTATAAGCTAGTGGTAAATAGAACAAAGGAAGATATAAAAGGCTATCTTGCTTTATAGCTGTCTTAAAATTATTTTATGAAAATTAATTAGCTATATATAACAGGGGTATGTCTCACAAATGTAATATTGTGTAAAAGAAACCAGCTATAAATTGGGCATATACTGTCAGTCTTTGTATATAAATAAAGTTAAAAACCGGCAAAACTAATGTATGACATTAAAAACTGAATAGTGCTTACCTTTGGGAAGGAAGGCGAGGGGATTGTGACTGGAAAGGTTACAGAAGGATTTCTGTTTATCTAGGAGATAGTTACATGGCTATGTTTGCTTGATTAAAATGTATTGAACTGTATATTTACAATTTGTATACTTTATATTTGTCTACTTCCATGAGAAAAAGATAAATGAGGGAACAGTAACCATGATGACATCATAATGTGGACCTAGCCTTTTCTTAAGTAACTAGTTTTAAATTTGAAAGGCAGTGAATGTTGAAAATATCATCTTTAAAATTTACTATTTTTTTTACACTTTATGACAAGTGTATCAAGTGTTTACTTATTATATATTGAATAACCCTCTTAACATACTCTTTAGGAAGTCTGTAATAATAAATTATATATTTAGAAAGAAGTCCTAAGAATCTTTTGATATTCAGACGGCACATTTCTGTGTATTTAGTGGACATTTTGAGATCCTGAACTGTTGCTTATGTTACCAATAAGGTCATCTCCATTTCTTTCTGCTCTTTTAAGGTTCTGCGTCCATTCCTCCTTCGTCGAATTAAGGCTGATGTTGAAAAGAGTTTACCTCCAAAGAAGGAAGTAAAAATCTATGTGGGCCTCAGCAAAATGCAAAGGGAATGGTATGTGTTTTGAGACGTTTTTGAAATCATTCTTAATTCTTCACTGACTTTCATTTGTACTTTGCTTTTGTGCTTGTGTCATCAAGGGATTCAGTCTGCTGGTGTGCGCTCAGCCTGACCAGTTTCCCGGATATAGAACCTAGGAGTTCTCAGCAAATTTATGATACCAAGCCTTTGTTAAAGATGACAGAATCAGCTTGGGAAGTTTATGAATTCAAAAGTTAAACTTGGCATTTAACAGAGATGGGTGTAAAGCTCTCTACATGGGTTTTTAAAAAAGACGTGGTTAACAGGTGGGTCATAAATACTGGCCCATGGATTCCTGCTAGTCCCTGATGAAGTTGGAGATTGTAGAGGTCTGAGAAAAGTTAAGTGCTTTCTCTTATCTCAGAAAGCCATATTTATTTAGTTTATAAGTTCATTTTGAGCTGATGTTTTGTTTTAGGTAAGATTAAAATGTCCTTTTGTGAATTTACAGTAATGACACATGATAGCTATTTTAAAAGCACCTAAATAGGGCATACTAAGAAAGCTGAAAACCTTCTAAGTTTCTGTTGTTTTCGTCTTTCCTGTTTTCCTTTTTTAAAAGTTTTATGGGTGTATGAAATCTTAAAAGGCTAGAAACTGCTGATTTAAGTGTTCAGAGGAGGGAAATAATCTAGCCACTCTGTTCTTACTGCATCTCAAGTATGTTCAGTTCAGTGCTCAGCATTGATCAGTATTTTTAAGGGGCTGGAGTTGTTGGTAAAAGGACAGAAAAGATACAAAGCAAAGAAATAGGCAAAAGGTAGCCCATTCTAAATGTCCTCAAAAATTTTGAAAGGTTTTTAATAGAGTAGCAAAGAGTTAGGCTTGTCTTATATGGCTCTAAAATACAGAATTAAGACATGAATCAGTGCTGAGGTAAAGCAAATTTTTTTTTCGTTTATAACCACATTGGTGAATTTTACATTAGAATTGTGATGGAAAGGTCTGCCTTGACTATTTTGTGCCTCCTAATTGGAGTTGTTAAGCATAGATGGCTTTGGTTATTTAAGTTGTTGCTCAGAGAATTCAGGGTCCTGAAACTTTGGTATTTGGACAGATTACTCTTTCCTTTAGGATAGTGTCTAACTTTGTAGTGTATACAGTCAAGGCTTTTCATAATAATCTAACCTTAGCCTAACTGCCCCCTTCTCTCCCTTAGCCCATGCACTTTAACATTTAAAGCTATTGTATTAATTTTATTTTCATCATCATGCCTTATGCTCTCATAATTCTTATTTCCTCCTTACCCAAATGATACACTGGCTACACTGAATAATAATGGATAGTAGCATTCTTCTTTTGGAAAAGACTACAGATTAAAATTATGTTTAAAACTTACTTTTAAAGTATGGCTTTATTACTTAAAAATGTTGTATCATTATAGTTTTGTTTCAGTTCATCCCAAGAAGATGAATTTACTCTTTTGGGCCTCTAGGCCCAAGCATTATAAGTGCACATTAGAACACTGAGGATGGGGTTGGAGGCAGCAAGGAGAAACAGAAGAAAAAAGACATTCGGGTGATAACACGCCTCAGCACACATTAGAAGTCGATGGGTTGTTTTGCATGGGTATTTTCAGGTTGAGATGGGATTAAGTATGTAAAATGGCGGGGACCCGTCCAGGAACATTTGAGCCATGGTAAAATGTTTTTCTTCTGGCTAGGTACACTCGGATATTAATGAAGGATATAGACATACTGAACTCTGCCGGGAAGATGGACAAGATGCGGCTGCTGAACATCCTGATGCAGTTGCGGAAGTGCTGTAACCACCCCTATCTCTTTGATGGCGCTGAGCCGGGTCCACCTTACACAACAGACATGCACCTGGTCACCAACAGTGGCAAAATGGTGGTGCTGGACAAGCTGCTCCCTAAATTAAAGGAACAAGGTACCTCTTGCTGGCATCAAACGGAGAAGCCGTGGAAGCTTAAGATTCTGATGTTAAAGTGAGGGGGCTCCCCTACACGGCACTTTGTGAAGCTGAAGTTTGGACATTGAAAAACTCCTATCCATTAACCTGAGTTTCACACCCCACCCTGCCAACCCCCCAGTTTTAAGCCTCAAATTTTTCAGAGAGCGATCTATAGCTAGGGCAGTCACACTCACTGGATTTTGAGGGAAAATTCTCATTTTCTATACACGTTCTTAGAAATAGCATTTTTTTGTTATGTCAAGAGTGCTCTTCCCACTCATACAGTTCACAGAGCCTTTGATAGACAGTGGTGGTGTGTTCATGGTGGTGCTCTTCAGCTGTTTATGTGTGTTTTTAATTTAATTAAACATTATATGCATGGACCCAAAGCAATTTTATTTACAATATGCTGAGTTTTATATGAAAATGAGTATGTGTACAGTGTACAGATTGATTTAAATTACATGAGTGTAGAGCGAATTTTATATGAAGCCAGCTTCAACAACTATAAACTAATGGCAAAACTTGTTTTCATCTGGACTGTACCTATTTCCTCCTTTTGGACTCTTGAACCATATCCCAGACATCAAGGCATTTCATGAACAAATTATTCCTTCTATAAAATGAAGTACACAGGTTTCAAATTTCTCCATTTGTGTTTCTCTGTATGTTTTTATAAGAATGATAATTGTACCAGTAGATGAATCTGTTTTAGGATATTGACTGTTGAAAACATTATTAGAGTTGTCAGTGAATTTGTTTTCTTTTTATACCTTTCTTGGGAAATGTATTTTCTAAAATGCTTTCTTTAAAAGTTAAGTAATTGAAGAAACTGAGTATGCAGGGAAGGGTGGCAAGAACTTGGTAGGAGACTACTGAACATCCTTACGCATTTCGGGCATGAGAACGTGGAACATGAGCAGATTAGCAGCCTCAGATTCTGAGACAAGATAGTTTCATAGTTACTATTTTCCAAAATGATCCACTGGTCTTATATCCTACTGAAGGCATTGTGCAGCTAGCTAAAGAAATGGAAGCATTGGATAATTTGAGTTGTAGCCTAAATGAAGGATGATGGTGCAGGTGTTAGGCACATCTGGATGGTCCTTCCATCTGGAGTGGGTCTTCAGAACTAGAGTGAAATCAGGGTACTGGGTGTGTGTCGAGGGATGCCTGGGGCCTTGCACAGGGAAGGGTTGTTGTGGTGGAGGGTTATTTTTAAGTATGTGGGATATAAAGCTGTCTTTGGGATGGCAAGATTTCCCAGGCCAGAAGCAAATAGCCTTTCTTGTTTACTTTAGTGTGTTTTTATAAATACTACCCTTTTCTGTTTGTGCCTTGATGGGAAAAATGTGGGGAGTGACTGACTTGGATAATAAATGATGTGTAGTCTTTTCCTTGTAACTACATTACCTGAAATTAAGGGGTAATTGGTTAGTCTTGGTTTTGGTTAGCCGTAAATTTAAATAAATTTGTTTTACTTCCGAAGCTTCTAATAGTGGTCTGTTATATTTGCCAACAGGTTCGCGAGTACTGATCTTCAGTCAGATGACCAGGGTATTGGATATTTTGGAAGATTATTGCATGTGGAGGAATTATGAGTACTGTAGATTGGATGGACAGACACCGCATGATGAGAGACAAGTGAGTAGAATTTGGGGAAGGGAGATTACAAAATTATCAAATAAAATACTTTTCTGACTTTTATTTTATATCATTAGGAGTCCATCAATGCATACAATGAACCAAACAGCACAAAGTTTGTTTTCATGTTAAGCACACGAGCTGGTGGTCTTGGCATCAATCTTGCTACTGCTGATGTTGTGATTTTGTATGACTCAGATTGGAATCCCCAAGTAGATCTTCAGGCCATGGTAAGAGATAACAAATATTCTCTGTGCTTAATAGATGTTTTCACTTAAAGTAAGCTAACGAGCGGTCTACAAATGTCAGTGACTGAATCCAATAGAATTGTACTTTCTCTGACCTAATAGTTCAGTGAGGGTATTTTGCAGGTGATCATCCATCTAAATCAGGTTATTTCCATCTTACATCTTTGCCATATCTTAGGACCTTAGAGTTTTGTTATATCCTTTGCATCAGGAGAGAAAACTGGGAATTGCCCAGGGAATTTTTTATGGGTCAGAACTGACAGTGTCCCCACTTTGATTGGCCAGCACTCAATCACACAGTGTAACTTATTGCATAAGAGTTGGTAACTAATAGTATAGTTGTGTCCTAGGTGGGACGGTAAGCAGGTTTGGGGAGCTGCTAGACTGCCTGTCATGTTTGATTTTTAAAATTTTAGGCCCATGCATCTTGAGTATTTTGGCCTGATCAAGAGAATCTTTCTTATGTTGAGAAAACTTATTAATCTATAGAGTAATACAAAAACATAAAAGTTCGTAAGTTGGTACTGCTAATAACTTGACCTGTGGTGTTTACATCTTTCTTGTTGGCCACTTTCATCCTGTGACTCTCTGTAAAGGTGGCTGGGGGAAATCGATAAATTAGAAATAGGGATGCTTTATAAGAATGTGTTTTCTGAACTTAACAGAAGTGAAACAGAAAATGGAATTCAAATTAGTTTGACTTCTTACATGTAGTTGATTGGGTACTATTTAGACTAGGATTTTTACATTGTTTGTGGAGTTTGTTTATTTGTGTCACTTTTTCCCCTTAATTGTAGTGAAAATTTAGATTTGATTTAGTAGAGAAACATTCTGAATTTAAACTTAAAAAGAAATTTTTAAAAAGTTTTATTGTCATACTTAAAGATTATAATTTTGTCTGTGTTGTCTGAAGACACTGTATTTTATTTCCATATAACCTAGTAAAATTATTATGGTAGTTTCTCACAGATTCAACACGTTCTATGCTTCTGGAAGGATTTCTTGTGAGATAACTGATTAATTTGATTGAAATTGAGACTTTAAGAAATGTTAATGAAATGTTAATGAATATGAATTCATCAGTGTTTTGTTTCATATTTCTAAAACCATCTTGTACTTGAGAGAATATTTTCATTTTGTTTCTCAAGATACACATTCAAATGTTATTTATGTGAATTTTCAACTGGATTCAGAGTAACCTAGTTATTTTCTTAGGACCGAGCACACAGAATTGGACAGACCAAGACAGTCAGAGTGTTCCGCTTCATAACCGACAATACTGTAGAAGAGAGAATAGTGGAGCGTGCTGAGATGAAACTCCGGCTGGATTCAATCGTCATCCAGCAGGGTGAGCCTAGGACTTTGAACATTTACCAGGTTGAATTTATAACACTTTCCCCTGGATTTCGTAGTTCAGAATTATTTATTGAACAACCACAGATGCCAGGCGTTGTTCTCAGTGCTGAGAATACAAAGGTGACTTGAAACCAACCAGTGTTCTTACTTTCAAGGTATTTATAATTCAGTGAGAGTGAGACACAGAATAAACTTATATGTAAGTAGGACTAGATGGTGAGAGTGGGATTTTATTTTGGATGAACTGAAGGGAACTTCAGGTTCTTGGGCCAGATCAGCTTTCAAGGAAGACATTTGTGTTTTCATGAAGCTTAAGATACATCTTTTAGTGATGGGATATGTAAAATGTAAAAATGAAAACAAACCCTCAGCCTCTTGCCCACATTGGTGTCTTTTCCTCCCAAACTGTTGTGACCAAATACATTTTCTCTGTCCCTGAAGCGGAGAGGTATACTGTCGTGTTGTTGTGGTAGTCGCTCAGTCTTGTCCAGCTCTTTGCGACCCAGTGGACTGTAGCCCGCCAGGCTCTCTGCCCTTGGAATCTCCAGGCAGGAATACTGGAGTGGGTAGACATTCCCTCTCCAGGGGATCTTCCTAACCCAGGGATGGAACCTGACTCTCCTGCACTTCAGGCAGATTCTTTGCTGTCGGAGCCACCAGGAAAGCCCCCAGGGGGACGCTGTGGCTTCACAGGCCGGGAACGAACGTGGGCCTCCCGCATGGCAGGCGAGAACTCTCCACTCAACCGCCTGTGCACCAGTAATGTTGGTTGCTCAGTTGTGTCCAGCTCTTTGCTACCCCATGGACTGTAGCCCACCAGGCTCCTCTGTCCATGGCATTTTCCAGGCAAGAATACTGGAGTGCGTTGCCTTTCCTTTCTCCATGGCATCTTCCCTACCCAGGGGTTGAACCCGTGTCTCTCGTATTGCAGGCAAATTCTTTACCGTCTGAGCCACCAGAGAAGTCCAATGGACTTTGTTGAAATCAGAAAATTCTGTACATCAGAACTTTTTTTTTTGCCTTGTAGTTCGTGGAATCTCAGTTCCCCGACCAGGGATTGAACCCAGGCCGCAGAAGTGAAAGCCCAGAATTCTAAGCTCTGGGCCACCAGGGAGCTGTCATGTTATCTACCGATTATTCCGTTTGTGTGTTTTGGTTTTGTCAGCCAGTGTCTTAGGTTTCTTGTAAGGAAGGGAATGTTACATTTCTTTGATATCCCATAATGCGCCATCACTTCATGGCAAATAGATGGGGAAACTGTGCAAACAATGAGAGACTTTATTTTTGGAGGCTCCAAAATCACTGCAGATGGTGACTGAAGCCATGAAATTAAAAGGCCCTTGCTCCTTGGAAGAGAAGTTATGACCAACCTAGACAGCATATTAAAAAACAGACATTACTTTGCCAACAAAGGTTCATCTAGTCAAAGCTGTGGTTTTTCCAGTAGTCCTATATGGATGTGAGAGTTGGACTAGATAAAGAAGGCTGAGCGCTGAAGAATTGATGCTTTTGAACTGTGGTGTTGGAGAAGACTCTTGAGAGTCCCTTGGACTACAAGGAGATCCAACTAGTCCATCCTAAAGGAGATCAGTCCTGAATATTCATTGGAAGGACTGATGCTGAAGCTGAAACTCCAATACTTTGGCTACCTGATGCGAAGAACTGACACATTGGAAAAGACCCTGATGCTGGGAAAGATTGAGGACAGGAGGAGAAGGGGACGAGGATGAGATGGCTGGATGGCATCAGCCACTCAATGGACATGAGTTTGAGTAAACTCTGGGAGTTGGTAATGGACAGGGAGGCCTGGCGTGCTGCAGTTGTTGGGGTTGCAAAGAGTAGGAGACGACTGAACTGAACTGAATGCCATCCATAAAGTTAGCCGTGTGTTGTATACATAAAGACAATACATGATTGTATACTGTTAGTTATTTTTGTTAATAATTGTTTAACATATTGGGCTTATTTTGTACCAAGTGATGTGCTCAATATTTAAATACAGAGTATTATCTTTAGTCTTCATGGCAGCTGGAGGTTGGCATCAGAGATAAAAGTGAGTCGCTTGTCTATCATGTATACAGCTAGGAAGTGACTCATCCAGGGCCTCCAAAGCTGTAATAATTTTATTACAGTGAAATGTCTAATTACGAAAGTCTCTGGGGACTTCTAAACAGTGAAATTTCTTATGAGTGAGATGTAATGGTCCTCACACTCATGCATGGTTTTAGAAAGACATCTGCCTTGTGGTTCTTGTTGTCAATTATTTTCATCTCTGAAACAGCATTTTTTTTTTTTTTTTTAAAAAGGTTAAACTAATTCTTTTACAGTCAGCTGAGAAAAAGCCTTTTGACTTCGGTTTTTTTTTTTAGGGCAAATTTTGGAACAAATTTGTGCTAATAGCTTTATTAATCCCATTTATAGACATACTAGTCAAACAGCAAGCCTTTGGTGTATGCGTCTGGGTTATGTTTTGTGTACTAAGGGATATAATAAAAAAATATGGGAATATATAGAAGTATTTAACATCTGAAAAGTTCCTTCCCACCAAGAGGAAAGTAATTCCTGTAAGCCTAAGAACATTTTTGTAGCATTGAGATAGCTTTCAAGAGTCATGTTCTTTATATTAAATATGTGTCTTAACTTTGAAAGTCACAAATATTTGATGGTGTATTCTGTGAGGGACCTAAAACCATGATACAAGGATTTAAGATCCCAGAAAACAACTTGTATCTTTATGCACTCATTACAAGTTGATTAAAGTAGAAAAATTGAAACACAAGTAAATGTGAATAGCTCTTGTAGTTTGGCAATGTGAAGGTTTTTGTACTTCATTTTCTAAGTAAAAAAGGCTGATTTGGGATTATTAGTGATAATACTAATCAGTTTCTGCTTATCAGAAACTTCCTGTATTTATAATACTCTCATCTAGGTTTTGGTAATTGGGTTTTCAGATATCCCAAATTGCTGTTATTCTCACACGAGAATATATTTTATTGAGATGGTATTCAGTAGACTTCATTACATAACATGTAAGCTTTAAGAACTATTTTAAATATTAACAACTTAAAATTTGGCATTTTATGTAAAAGTGAAAGTTATCAAATGTAAATAAATAGAAATGATTAAGAAATGATTGAGGGCTTATATCGAACATTTAAAATTCCAGAAGTTTGATTAACATTACACAATATCTTTTTTCAGGAAGACTTGTGGATCAGAATCTGAACAAAATTGGGAAAGATGAAATGCTTCAAATGATAAGGCATGGGGCAACACATGTATTTGCTTCAAAGGAGAGTGAGATTACTGATGAGGATATTGATGGTATTTTGGAAAGAGGTGCAAAGAAGGTGAGATGCAGATTAAATGGTATTTCTAGTATATAAAATATTTTAAACCAGAACTGAGGAAATGGCTATCTAAGTTATACTTCTACAGAAGTTATAAAGTCCAATTCATTTTGACTACAGTTCTCATACTTTTTTAAAATTCTCAAATCTAATAAGATGTTTCTTTTGTTTCCTTAGACCGCAGAGATGAATGAAAAGCTCTCCAAGATGGGTGAAAGCTCACTTAGAAATTTTACAATGGATACAGAGTCGAGCGTTTATAACTTTGAAGGAGAAGATTATAGAGAAAAACAAAAGGTAATTTAGAAAGAGATTTTGGTTACCTTAAGACTAAATATTTTAGTCTGGAATTTAAGTGGAATATTAAGTCTGGAATATTAAGACTTAATATTTTAGTCTGGAATTTAAGTGTTAGGTGTGATGCCTTATCTCAAATAGTAGTCAATTCTGTTTGCTCACATCTAAATTATTTTCATTTGTGTGTTAAATTTAATGCCACATTTTCAGTTGGTAAATGCTGAAATGTTATAAAAATTTATGTATACTGTTATAGTAAAGTACATTGTGTGGGGTGATTATAGTAATTGGGGATATTTGGAAATTAAAACTACTGCCAAAAGTAAAATCTGTCACAACCTTATTAGTTGTGGGTTTTTTTTTTAAGCAGAATTGGCTATTAATAATTAAAGGGATGAACTTCTAATTTCTAAATTGCTATTTCCTTCCTAATTGGTATTATATAGTGAAATTAGAAAATTCCTCCTGGGCAGAAGGAAAATAATTCTACCTAATGATTTCCCTTTTAACATTTAGACATTTATATCCTTTGAATTTTTTCTAGGCTAAATATTTATCTACATTTCTCTCCTAATTTTGGTTCTAGCATACCATCTGTAGCATTTCTTTTTTCACCCAATCATCATTCATTTGGTCAGGAAATAATCACTGAATGTTTGTGCTGTTCCCTAGACATCCTCTTGTGTGTTAGTTGCATAGTTCCTAGCCTCATGTAGTCTAGGGTGTATGAACACCTGCATTCATAAATAGGTCATATTAATGTGCACAGTAGGAGTTGCCTTCATGTAAGATCTGTGACTGTGTAATAAAAGCTGGTGATTTGAATTGTCTCCCACGGGCTAGATTGCATTCACAGAGTGGATCGAGCCTCCTAAACGGGAAAGAAAAGCCAACTATGCTGTTGACGCCTATTTCAGGGAAGCGCTTCGCGTCAGTGAACCTAAAGCACCCAAGGTGAGTTGACAGAGCACAGATAATTAAAAATATTGGGAATGCAGATTAGTTTTCTTTTTATATTCTTGCAATAAAATCAGATTGAGAATTAAAATTTTACGTGGTTTCTTCCAGTGCACCTCCTTCAACTTTTGTTGAAAGTTTTCTAAAAGTTAATTTTAAATGTAAGCATTTAACATTTGCTTGATGTTTGTTAAATTTTATGGAAGATGCATTCAGTTGCTTGGAGAATTGGCTGTCATGGTTTTATAGAGTGCAGAAAGATTTCAGATAGATTTAAAGCAAAATAGGTTTGTGTTTTTTTGTTTTTTTTTTGTTTTTTTTTTTACAAACAATGCTGTTTTTTTTTTTAGGCTCCTCGACCTCCAAAACAACCCAATGTTCAGGATTTCCAGTTCTTTCCTCCACGTCTATTTGAATTATTGGAAAAAGAAATTCTATATTACAGAAAAACAATTGGTTACAAGGTAACAGAAGTAACACTTTGTAACTAATCTCATTTGTTTTTACTTACTAAATGCATGATATCAATATATTTTCTTGGATTAAAACTTATAAAATTTCATGTAGTTGGTTAAGACTTCAGTTCATCACGTGTTTCCTGAAATCTATTGACTGATGACACAGAAAAAGCACGTATGTTTTTAGGTCCCTCGAAACCCTGACCTGCCGAACGCAGCACAGGCACAGAAGGAAGAGCAGCTGAAAATCGATGAAGCCGAGCCCCTCAATGACGAAGAGCTGGAGGAGAAGGAGAAGCTTCTGACGCAGGTGCGCCCCAGCCAGAGCCAGGCTCGGTGACGGGCCTTCTGTGAGGCGCCCTGCTAGGCTCTGTGCGGCGGACAGGAGGAGCACAGCTTCTGCTTTCACAAGTGGCGTGACTGGGGGTGACGAGCATGGGCATCTGGGCGTGTGCTACGCTGTGAAGAGAAGAGGGTAGATGTGCACCAGATCTATTGCTGTGGAGCCAGGATCTGTGATCACCTTTTTTCCAGCTCTCCCACCTCCCCTTTTCTGGGGATCTTCTCATTTTTACTGTGTCATTGTTCTCAATTACAAGTATCTGCTGGGTGCTTTTTGTAAACATCCTTTAGGATTCAATCAAGGCCTTTGAGAATCTAGCTTTAACCTACCTTTAAAGCTTCAGTATTACTTTGTTTTGCCGCTTGGTTTATATGTTTGCTCTGTATGTTCATTCTGGCTTTTTACGTTCTTTCCTCCTGACAAACAATTTCTCCTTGAAAACGCAGTGAAAATGTCACTTTTTTGTGCAGCATTTCTTACTCTCCGACTCAGACTTAGTTGGTTGGCTGTCTAAGTAATGTATATGATGTATTGTTAAAGTGCACATCTATGTATATGAATAGTTACCACTTTAAAATAACTTAGAACTTGGAGCAACTGAAATTTTTCTATAATACTTAGCAGGATTGGTAAAGTTTTAATAGCTTTTCCCCCAAGCTCAGGGACTATATGCTTTGTTTTCTTTGCTTTGAAGGGATTTACCAATTGGAATAAGAGAGATTTTAACCAGTTTATCAAAGCTAATGAGAAGTGGGGTCGTGATGATATTGAAAATATAGCAAGAGAAGTAGAAGGCAAAACTCCAGAAGAAGTCATTGAATACTCAGGTACTTCTGTTATTTTAATAGGTATAAGAATGTTCTCAGGCTTTTGGAGGGCAGTTGGAAAGTTGAGATTTTCTTACTCTGAATGAAGTATTTGTTTTCCTAATTTTTAAAAAGTTTTTGGCCACACATGTGGCATGTGGACTTCCTGGTGGCTCAGATGGTAAAGAATCTGCCTGCAATGCGGGAGGCCCAGTTTCCATCCCTGGGTCGGGAAGATCCCCTGGAGGAGGACATGGTAACCCATTCCAGTATTGCCTGGAGAATCCCCATGGACAGACAAGCCTGCGGGCTACAGTCCTTGGGGTCACAGAGTCAGACACGCGTGAGAGGCTGTGCACAGCACACATGTGGCGTGTGGAGTCTTGGCTCCCTGGCCAGGGATTGAACCCACACCTCCTGGGCTGGAAGCACAGTCTGAGCATCTGAACCATCAGGGGAGTCCGTGAATGAAGTTTTGATAAGCTAAAGTTTGCCACAATGGTGTCTCATTTTGTTTTTTAAAAATTGAGTTAGAAAATCTCCCCTTCTTTAAAATGGCATCATTAATTTTTCTTTTTTTTACCCTCGTTAACTAACTGTAGCCAAGAAAACAAGAATAGGCCACTGGATAATTGTGCTTTCTTTTTACTTCATTTCCCTTTATAACTTTTCAAATACTATATAATTCTGTTTCCTGAAGTCTGTTGGGTTGACAAGTGGATGTGTGTAAGTTGTGCTATGGTGATTGCTGAAAATTTCAAAAGAGGAGAGAATTAAGTGTTGGGAGATACTTAAATCATGCAGTTCACCTTTTTTTTTTTTTTTTTTAAGTTAAGGAAAGAGAGGTAATTGTGTGACTTAGTAGTGTTAGATGTGGGAAGAAGGGAAACATTTCTTAATCCTTAGCAAATAAAATAGATCAGAGCATTTATAAAAACAAGTTACTTATATTTCTTCCCTTTCTCCACCTATCCCCTCTGCCCAATTTTACTCTTAACAGCTGTGTTCTGGGAAAGATGCAATGAGCTGCAGGACATAGAAAAGATTATGGCTCAGATTGAAAGAGGAGAGGCAAGAATTCAAAGAAGAATTAGTATCAAAAAAGCACTTGACACGAAGGTACTTTGAATATTAATAAGTATTGTAGTTAATAAAATAACTCCTGTCTATAAGTATAAGAGTTAAAGTAATTATTTAAAAGGAAAAGAAATGATTTAAAATGAAAAATTTCTTCAGAGAACAACATTCAGACTTCATGGGGATTCTCAACAGGATTTACCTCAGTATTTCAGTTGGTATATGTGGGTCAGAGTCTCTGTGATTTAGCTCTTTGCTACATAGTACTAGAAAATCTGTCTGTATTTCTTTTTAGAATAATAAAGACCAAAGTTGTTTCGGGACAAAGGTTAAGAATGATGGAAGTGCTTTGAATAGAAAATGGATGTGAAATGCAACATTTATAGCTAACTTTACTAAAACTGAGTTTGAAATATAGGTTATGTAGGATTTGTATTTTATATAATGGGAAATCTGATTTTCATAGATTGGACGGTACAAAGCACCTTTTCATCAGCTGAGAATATCTTATGGTACTAACAAAGGGAAAAACTATACTGAAGAGGAAGACCGCTTTCTGATCTGTATGCTTCACAAGCTTGGATTCGACAAAGAAAACGTGTATGATGAATTGCGGCAGTGTATTCGCAACTCTCCTCAGTTCAGATTCGACTGGTTTCTAAAGTCCAGAACCGCAATGGTGAGCACTGGGGGCCTTTTTGTGGAATGAAGCAGATAATGCAGAGGAAGTAGATAATGTAGTATTGTTTAAGGTAACATTTAAAATTTTATTAAGAGAAAATTTGTGTATCTTTGAAGTAAATTTTTGTTAGATTACTGTTTGTATCATAGGTTAAAGTAGTTCCTTAAGAAACAGTTCACCTCCACAGTTATAAACCTAATGTTATAAGTCACTTACAAAGTTTATTTTTTCCATCGTTTGATAGCACTTCTTTTAACATCACTATATACAATAGGATTAGTTTTTTTGTGTGAATTTTAATCAAGCTTTAAGTAGAAGGAAAAGTCGCATCAATTAACTTGTGAATAAGATGATCACAATTTAAAATTTGACTTTTGCTTTTGTAAATAATACACATTTTTATAAAGAAAGGACTTCTACTCAATGTATCTGCCCATCAGAATACTGAATTTTCAGTTAATTAAAAAGAGCATAGTGTGGTAAAACACTACTGTTTTAATGCTAGGTTCTGATCACCAACTTCCATTTTTATGACCTAAAATTAGAATTCAGAAAAATATAGCTTTGATGAATTGCTCTTCCCTTATGTACTTTACCACCTTTTAATTTTTAGCTTCATCTTTTGTTCTTCAGGATTATTTAATGCCAAAAAAAGTTCTGTAGTCTTAATTTTGAGACTTAATTTCTCTCAGTGTATTTAAAATACATTTTTGCTCTTCAGGATGGGATAGTTTGCAATCTCTAAGTGTTTGACCACTGAAGGGTTTTTTTTTTTCCATTAAATGTCATTGGAGGCTGGTGTTTTATGAAACTCTAGGTTGGGAAATGTTGCTGTATAAATGAATTATAAATATACAGTTAGAGGAGACAGATTCAGTTGCTGTAAGCTCTGTATTGTATCTTTCAAAGTAGGAACAATTTATAGTTAGTAAGTGATTTTATATTAAGTGAAGCAAGATGCAGTGTCACATTACTGGTATAATACCATAGTCTAAAACTGTTATTTCCTAACGTGTTTCATGTTAAGGCACACATACAAAATGATATGTGTATGGCCCCTTCCCCTTGTGATGAAACAGTTGAGGCATAATCTTCGTCTATAAGCCAAGCAGATTCATATCATAGCACATCTGTAAAACATTCTGGTCTGTGTATCTCAGTAAATTCAGAACTTGGATGTAGTGTACCTTCTCTCTATATGTACTATTGCAGATATTTCCAAACCTTGTATGGTTGTGTCCTATATGATATTTTTAAATGATTTTGTTGTGATTGATTGTGTAGTACTGTCACAACACGGAAAACACCAGTTTTACAGTTTAAGTTGGTTTTAACCCTCAAATATTAATATTAATTGGCAGTATTTTAAGTTTATATATAGATGGCAGTTCTCAGGCATCGATGCTAGTAGCAGTATTGCACATATTAAGAGATGGTCATTTTCACTGCTTCAGTTCCCGAGTGAAGGAAGGATGTATGTAGAATACACAGTAGCATGGCCTTAAATAATGAAGTGAAAGATGTACACATCTTTTTTTAATCCCCCTGGCATGGAATGTGTATGAAAATTAGTAGTTTTTTGCTTTCAAAAATTTTAATCTATTGGGAGTATAAATGATATTATGCTATTAAAACATACCTTTGGTTTTGAAATTGTATTCATGAAAACTTATAGATGGAGAATACAGATTTATCATGTAAAGTTGTGTTTATAACTTAGGAACTGCAGAGGAGGTGTAACACCTTAATTACCTTGATTGAAAGAGAAAATATGGAACTAGAAGAAAAGGAGAAGGCAGAGAAAAAGAAAAGAGGACCAAAACCTTCAGTAAGTACTGATGAAAAATGTAAATGTTTTCTTGGGAGACTTAGCTTTTTTCAAGAATTTGAATATTACTTGGCTTACCACTGATGCACTAATCTTGTTTTTTGGTAGATAGCATAACCTAAATTGCTTAAAAAGTATAAACAAACTTGATTGCATTGTGTGGGGAATATCATGTTATGGTAATTCACAGTGTGGGGATTTGTAAAAATTTGGTAAGGTCTGTCTTGTGAATGCCATGAGTCTACCCTTGACTATGAGAACACAGGTTACAATGTTAGAATATTTAAAGAAATATTAGGAAAGCAGTGACCTTTACAACCTTGACTGTTCACTTCTAGACTATGATTTCTTTCCCCAGTGACCTCTTAGCATTGTGAAGGCAAAAATTACAAGAGAGAAAAAGTTTTAATTTTGTTATTTAGTAATAACTTATAGGGTCATGAGTAAATGAACATCTGCAGAAAATCTGGTGTTCATGTAACCTCACGAAGTATTTCTCATTACTGCTTTTTTAAATAAGAAGCATGTGTTGTACATTTGTTTGGTGTATTGACTTACTGTTGCTAATTGTGAATTACTCATTACTTCATTAATAGCAGTAAAATTTTTGTGTTAGTAAAATATGTAGATAAGATTATTTAGAGAATTAAGGTTCTTCGGGTTAAGAAAATTAATACCTGTTACCAAGTGGCAGCTATTAGTAAAGTGCTATCATGTGTCTTCCAATGTATTTCATGTTAATATTATTCGTGTGATGAAGGAAATCCTTTTGTTTGTTACTAGACACAGAAGCGTAAAATGGATGGAGCACCTGATGGCCGAGGAAGAAAAAAGAAGCTGAAACTATGAATAGATATTTGTTTCATAATCACTAACTTTAAACCAGTAGTTCTTTAATTTACGGGTCTTCATAAGATGTACTGTACAATGCTCAATTGTTATGTCATTCAACGACATCAGGTTCATCTGTTTACCGAGCTAGAAACATAGTATGTAGTTTCACTTTTTTAAATGCAACAGCTGTGCTGAAATTTTTTTATCATTAACACTTGAAGTAATAAAATAGGCTTCATTTATTAATAAATGTTTCAGTTGATTTATTTTTCTATTATAGTTCCATTTGTGAGGATTGTGACTTTGTTTATGAGCTATAATTTCTATACTTGTGACGCTTAAAAAGAAGCAAACAAGTTAAAAAGAGAAAATTGCAGATAACACTTGTCCCTTCAGTCTTCACTTAGTTGTGTAATTGTTTTAATTGACTTTGCCTTTGCAGAAGTTTGGGTATCTTCTTTGTAGTGCTATTGAGTCTCATCCAGGAAGATTATGTACATTGCATTCTCCTTGCTTGTTATATGGGTAGAATGGGAAAAAAAGGCAGGACAAATTCTCATTAAATTCTATGCATATTTCTGTTGCGCTGTTTCTATAGTTCTGAGGTGAATATGCCCTATTCTGTTTGGAAGAATGGCCTTTTAGTTGTATAGCCAAAGACATTTAGTATTTTCTGGTTCCTTAAGGTGTTGTTGTACCATTTTGTAAAAGGAATGTTGTTATTATTTTTTTTAATTGTTTGGTAAATATTTTTGACAAATTAACCTTCTGAAGCAGCCACAACTTGGAAAGATAATGTCAAAACTTAAGATGATTTTTCTTTTTTTAAAAAGACCCAGCCAAAATAAGGTGTCAATTTGTCGTACTGTTAAATTGAAATTGGTAACAAAATGTATCCCTTTCCGGTTTAACCATTTTTGGGTTTTAGAGTAATTGAAAATTTTATTTTATTATATTTAAAATAATTTCTAAGTGTGAACAGCAAGAATGACTTAATTCCAGTTTTTATTTTCTATGGACAGACTTGATAAACTGGAGACCCTGAGGCAGGATTACCCAAATTGTAGTGTCAGGATTTTAGCTGTACCAGAGGCCTTTATGTGCTACACATAATTTGTATAAAGTTTTATATGTGCAAATTGGGTACATAAATAGTTCTCCATTTTTCTAAGGGAATGCAATAAATGTAGCATCGTGAATAAATATAACTTTTATAATCCTTAAGTGGTCTTTTCTTTCCATTTCTTTAATTTTCTTTTCTCATTTGATTTTTATTCACTTTTTTCCCTTGGGATGTTATCTTTTTTCCTTAGATTTTCTCCCCATATCAGTTGCTTTTATCTGCCCACACATAATTGAGATTTCTATTTATAATGCTGATTTCTATAATATTACTAATACTGCTTACTTCTAAAAAGCGGGATTGTTGTTGGCGGTGTCAAGCAGAATGCAGTGTTTATAGCAATTTGTGGAGTGATCTGTTGTGTGTTTTCTGTCCCCCCCCCCCAACCCCCCCATTGACTTCTCACCTTGGATTCTTCAAACAACAATTACAGATATGATGTATGCAGAAATTGAGGAATGGTTTCTCTTTCCATGGAAAAAGCTACTAAGAGTGGTGGCTTTATTTTGGAAGAAATAATTGGGAAAAACAAGGTTGAAGAAAACTTTACAGAGATCACAGGAGAAGTGTTTTCAAGACAAAAACAGCTAATGCCGTGTGTGTGGGGGGCGGGGGGGTGTGTGGGTGGGTGGGTGGTGGTGGAGGAGTTGGGAGGGAATGTAGAGAGTGGAAATGTAAAAGGAAGCTAGTGCCAGCCCTTCAGAGCTCAGGGACTCTGGGAGGTACATGGGTAAATTGAAACACTTGAAGAAAGCATGAAAACAAACAACAAAGCTTAGCATTGTGGTTCACAGGTCAGTTACGATATCACTGTTGGACGCTTAGCTAGAATAAAGCCAAGTTTTTATTTATATTGCTAGTTAACGAAACATGATGACTAAGCCCAACCAACTATTTTAAAAGAGGAATTGATGGTAGAGGAGACTCAAAATTGGAACCCATTTGATTTCCTCAGTTTATAGTTGAGGAATAGGAAGTTTAAATGGGTGAAATGAATGGTCCTAAAGCCAGCTTAGAAGAGGCTGGGTGTTTACCTAGGTGACCACAGGGTCACAGTTGTTAGACTATTTCATTTAATAAATAATTATGTATTGCTCTGTTGGGAAGATTATATTTTATTGGGAAGGTATCTAGTAAAATTAATGTTATATTTCAGCTTCAGTGTTTTAAATATTAATGTAACCTTGGGAGGAAAAAATGGAAAATTTTCCAGTAGCAAACTTTTAATTTAGGGTATTTCAAATTCATATAGTAGACTTAAAGTATGTGCTTTAATTTTATTGCAGGGCTTACATATGCTCATTATAATGTTTTAATCTGAACTCAATACCCTAATTTAGGCTAAGTGGCATTTATGGATACCTACATGTTGGTCTTCGTAGAACATTCAGTGTCAAGTGTGACAGGAACATGATAGTAAAAAGGGTCAATACATTAATATTAAACCAGCTAATACCAATTTGTTGGTTTTAAGTAATTATTTCAAATGTGATTACACTTTATAATATTTGACTCTGTGAACATGTGATTTTAAAAAATGGTTAAAGACGTCTTAGTGTTGTGGATAAGTTCAGTTGCAGTGACATTTTAAGGAACATACATAAATCTCATTTCTGAGGAACCACCAGTCCTTAACACTGAACACTGTTCCTGTCAGTTTCCCTGGGGGAATTAACTCAGTGGACAGGCAGGTTCAAATTGGGGAACGTAGGAAGAGCCAAGTCCAAAAGAATGCACTTGGTTCAGGCATAGCTATCCTGGTTCCTGCAGCCATTTTAAAGGCAGGTGCAGCTCTTTGTGAAAATAATAGAAGAACCTATCTCAGTCTGTGTGAAGCCAGAACACAGCATAGCCCTCACACGTGGATTTTGTGCACGTTGAACGTTACTGCATGTGTTTGGGCAGTCACTCACTGAACATTGGCGGAACTTGACAGCAGAAGCGATCAGGGTAGCTTTCTGCTATCCTCACCACATATACCTCTCTCTGAAGCCACTTTTCTGCTTGTGTCTCAGGTATCACTCAGTACTGCAAGTTTGACTTGGAAAAATATATCACCCTGAATCTGATGTATTTTGAAAACGATGAACATGGTCATCTTTGTACTTGCAGTGATAGACTAAAACCTTCACATGGGAGCTTGTTAGAAATGTAGAATCTAAGGCCTCATGTCAGACCTGCTGCACTAGAATCTGCATTTTAATAAGATGCTCAAAGGTGACTCATGCACAGGAAAATTTGAAAAGTACTGCTTTAAACTCATTTTACCAAAGCAAAATAATGAAACCTTAATAGTTGTTTAATACAAGTGTTTTCGTATTAACGTGAAGATTAACATATAACAACAGGGTAACATTTTTTAGTTTAGGTGAGGAAGATCCAGTATTATTTCAGAGTGTGCTGAGTCCTTCAGTCATGTTCGACTCTGCAACCCTCTGAACTGTAGCTTGCCAGGCTCCTCTGTCTGGGATTCTCTAGGCATGAATACTGGAGTGGGTTGCCATGCCCTTCTTCAGGGGATCTTCCTGACGCAGGGATAGAACCCGCATCTCTTATGTCTCCTGCAATGGCAGGGTGGGTTCTTTAGCACCACCTGGGAAACCCAAAAATGCTTTTAAGTTGAATTTTGGATCTGCAGATAGTTTTAGAAGAGGTTTTTCTGGTGAGTTGTAATGGTCTAGCATCAGTCATTGCCTCGCAGTTACCTTGGGGCAGGTGTGCGGTTGGAGGAGCAGCAGCAACGCCCGGGAGCTGTTAAAATTAGAGATGCTCACTCAGACCGTCCTCCGTTTTGCTGAACTGAAATCTGGCGGGGAGGCTTTGCATTTCTGTCTCAAGCCCTCCCGGTGATGCTTACCGAAGTTGGAGATACACCGAGTTAGCACCTCTCACTACACTTGGTGGTTTCCCTTTCCTTTACGTGGGACAAATGCTACATAACCTTGGATTGTGACTTGCTTTTTTCTACTCAATTTTGTAAATCCACTTATGAAACTATAAAAGGCAGCATGCTGAGTGTGTGGGTCATTAAATGAATAATGGCTGAGTCATAGCGAAGATGAGATGTTCATTGGTAGAGCGGTAAGCGCCTCTCCTTATAGGGATAATGTGATGAATAGACAGTGGTCAGCTGGACTCGGTGACAGAATGCTTTTGGTTGATTGTGTCATCTTTCACAGAAAAGACTCTTTTTTTTTTTTAACCATTTTTACCATTCTGAGCATGTTTTCCCTGTGTATTGTCACTTTGGAGACATGATTGATCTGGTCTGAAGTCAGAAACATGTCTCTGTGTTGATGCACAGACAACATCTCCTTCTAGGGATGGTCAAGGTCAACTTGGAGAGAAGACCTTTCACCCTGCAGCGCAGAGTCTGCGCTGACTTCTGGGGAGTCACCGTAACCTCCAAGCGGCGTTGCTGTCTGGTTGCTGTTAAAGCAGCTTACCGATGGGCCATTTTCCTCATCTGTGGCATCAGCCTTAGGTCTGAGGAGAAGGGAGGCCGGTAGCACGAGGCAGCTCAAGAGCAGGAGCCCAGGTGCACCCCACAGATGGACATGGTGCTGCCTGAAGGATCCCAACCTACAGCTTCCATTCCTATTTGCTGATGAGCCGCGCCACCTGGGAACCAGTCTGGAAGGAAGTCTGGCTTTTTTAGAGTGGTTCAGGGTGATATGCTGAGTATGAGTGCCCTTCTTTTTATCAGCTCCTGTATCTGGAGAGAGAGTCAGGAACGAGTGCTAAGGGCACTCTCAGCACTATAACCTGAAAAACTGGAAGAGGGTGAGGGCATCACTGTAGTTGAAATGTGCATTTTGTCCAGCATCAGTGGACAAAGAAAGGTTCAGCCTTTTGTTCTTAACTGTTGATTTAATTGACGACAATGGGTTTCACTGGCGTTGGTGACAAAAGAAAAAAGGAAAAACAGAGCCCAGTCTAATAATGCTTTGTAGGCTTATTCTTGCTCTTTATGTTTTCACACAGTTGCATAAACTACACTTGCACATATCACCAGAATATATGTAACACCAAGGACAGTACAATACCAATGATATCCCAGGGTTGCAGTGATTTGGAAACTGTTGTTAGGAGAACTGTTTTGGCTGCTTCCTCTCCTTTAAAGTCTTTCAACCAAAAGGAGGACAAGCACTCTGCTTACAGTCAGCGATGGCGTCATTGATGAAAATGGTGGTTTTATTGGGTTCACCAAGTGCTGCACCCAGTGGCATCTGAAGAAGTAATTCAAACCGCTCTGAACCCTCAAAGATGGGCTGTCCCAGGTCAGCAAGGATTGTCACTCGGAACATCTGAACACGCACTCCTGGAGCGAAGTTCAGTTTTTGGCTGACGCCAATATAATCTAATCCAGCTAGTGGGAAAGGAAAAGCCAAGAGTAAGATGCAGGAGTCACGGCCCGACGTTTTCCTTCAGAGAAAGATGGGTGGGCCTTAGCACTGTCCTATGTATATGGCACCCTCAAACTCATTTTTTTTTGGCTTGATCCTCAGAAAGGGGCAATCTCCACATTCTACAAAATGCCACAACCACCACACATCCATCACCACGTGCGATCCCCACCAATGCTCTCCATCAGCTTCCAAGCACTTCCACAAAAATCCCACCGATACACTGAAGGCTCTCAAGGCAACTTAAGTTTTAATGAAGGCATTTCCCTTTTCTATTTGGAACCGTTAAGATCATGATTGTGACTTTCGTTTTGACCAGGTTTCACTCATTCACCTTTCCCAGACATCTAGTTTAAACTTAACAATATTCTGCTCAGTTTTATTGGGCCATGAAGTTCCTGCCATTTTCTCAATTATTAATCATTTTGTAAGCTGGCTCACCTCATTGTATCACTTATTTGCTATTTATTTAAAAGGTCATCCAATGTTATGACAAATTATAGCCAAAGAGAATAGAATAAGAAACCCTGATAAGAATAGAATATTTACATTGTCTCAAATCATCTCCCCATAAAAGACTTCTTGGGGGCCACCCTTGTGGCTCAGATGGTAAAGAATCTGCCTGCAATGTGGGAGACTTGGGTTTGATCCCTGGGTTGGCAAGATCCCCTGGAGAAGGGAATGGCAACCCACTCCAGTATTCTTGCTCAGAGAATCCCCATGGACAGAGGAGCCTGGCAGGTCCATGGGGCTGCAAAGAGTCGGATGCAACTGAGCGACTAACACAAAAAGAATTCTCAATTACAAAGGAAGAAAAGTAACTTCATAGTAAAGAAACCTGGCACATACCACCTTAACCACCTTAGCCAAGTGATCAAAGTTCATATCACCAATGGCGGGATAAATGGCAATTGTGTCCCACTGGCTAGAAGGCAGTGAAAAGGCAGTACCATTTCTGTGATATTCCTTCTGAAGATGCAGAGCCTGAATCTAATGATGAGGAAAATCAGACACGCCCAACCTGCTGGGTATTTTACAAAACTAATTTGTAATATTTCTTTTAGATTTTTATTTTATATTAGAGTATAGTATAGTTGTGTCTGACTCTGTGACCCCATGCACAGAGAAGCCGGGTGGCTTACAGCAGCCCACCAGTTTCCTCTGCCCATGGGATTTCCAGGCAAGAATACTGGAGTGGTTGACCTTCCTTACGCCAGGAGATCTTCCTGACCCAAGTGTCGAACCCAGGTCTCCTACAATGCAGGCAGACTCCTTACCGTCTGAGCTCCCAGGAAAGCCCCGTAGTTGATTCACAACGCTGTTAGGTTCAGGTGTACAACAGGACATTTCAGTTACACATATATGCATATCTATTCTCTCCCAAAGTCTTTTCCCACTTAGGTCATTACAAGACTATTAAATACAGTTCTTTGTGCTATACATTAGGTCCTTGTTGATCATCTATTTTTATATATAGTAGTGTCCATCTGTTAATCCCAAACTCCTAATTTATCCCTCCCCCTGGTTTATAACCTCGAAAAATATAAAAGTCATGAAAGTCAAAGAAAGCCAAGAAACTGTCCAGATGGTATACAAAACTAAACGACACAGTACTAAATACAATGTAATTTTGAACTGAACTTTTTTGCTTTATGAATGATTTGGGGGACAACTGGTAGAATTTGAATGAGGTCTGAAGATAAGAGTGTAGTTATGTATCAATCAGTATCCTGATTTTTAAGTTTGTATTGTGGGTACACAGGAGAATGTCTCTATAGGAGTTGACCTCCACATTTTTGAAGAGATGGTTCGAGATTTATTGGCAACCTGCTCTCAATGGTTCAAGAAAAGCAAAGTGGTTTTTTTTTTTACTGTACTTATTTCTTTTCTGTAAGTTTGAGGTAATTACATTAAGAAAAAAAATAAGACAAGATGATGGTGAAAAGCACCAAGGCAGGAGAGTAAAGGAAAGGGGATTTGGGATCTTATGAGTTTTGGTTCACATGTTAATTCTGCTGTTTACTTGTATAAACTGTTTCATTGTTTGAGTCTCAATTTCTTTAACATCAAAATGGGGAAGATTATTGCTATTTTCCAAAGTTGTTGTGAAGATTAGAGATAATACAGCAAGGATGCTAGCACAGAGTCTGTCAAATAGCAAGCATTCAGTACATAGAAATTATAATTATTATTTATGTCATAGATAATGATGAATGATGTATGCATCATTATTATTGCTGATTCACCAGCCTGAGCAGATGTCATTTTCTAGACTCTAGAGATTACCAAGTCTAAACTGTTGCCTCTGCATAGCTCCGGTTCAAACCCATGAGTCATGACCTCAAGCATAGATCACTTCTATCTGTCCATCCCTGTCTGAGGGCCAGCAGAGGGTCATTACTGGCATAAAAAGGAATTAACCTAAGTAAATTTTAATTTTTTTCCCAACCATAAAAAGAGGCCAAGGAGCCAACTGATCTATTCACTTTTGGTTTCACAAATATATATAGAGTGAGAAAGAGCCTGGTCTGAAAATTAAGCAAAGAAGGAAGGAAGGAAGAAAAGCCAAAAAAAAAAAAAAAAAAGCAAGACAACAACAAAAGAACTCAGCAGAAGGCCCATCACTGGCGTCATGTGCAGTATGATGTGATATATTCACTGGCGTGTTATAATATGGTAATTCTCCCAAGAGCAAGTTGTCTTCCGTTCCCTTAACTGTTTCTTGGGTACATGTTGGAACTGAGTGCACATTTTCATAGACACATTTTCTCTTCATGTCCTGTTCCTGCAGGTTTTTAGATTGCTGGGTTTTATTTGCAAGATTTGTTCTTTTACTTAGTTTTTATCTTAACGTATCCTCATGTGTCTTGGACTGTACGATTCTAATCCTATGCTGCCTGTCACATCCCAAGAGATTAAGGTCCCTGGTAGCAATGAAAAAAATGTGAATTTCAACGCAGATGGAAATTTCCCTTTCTCTTCCTGAATCCTTCTGTGTGTTTTTTTTGTCTTTGTTTATTTAATTTGGTTGGTAAAGCAGCTTCAACACAGGGAAAGTGATGTTCAGAACCATTTAACTCTACTGCCAGCCAGGCTTTGATTGTCCACATCAGGAAAAGCAAAGGGGAGTGGGGTGTGAGAACATGCTGCTTGAAGCCAAGGAAAATGCTGGAGTGTCAGACGTGAGAGCCTCCTACCCTCCCGGGGGGCCAATAGGTGCCTGGAGACTGCCAGGAGCTGGCATACCTGCTCAGTCATCACAGGGACACCTTGGTATGACATAGTGTTTCTGAGCAGCTTCTAGTATCCACAAGTACTCTTTTTTAAATTAGTTGATTTGGGGCTGTGCTGGTCCTTGTTCCTCCGCGCGTGCATTCCCTAGTTTCGAGAACGGGCTCCTCGCTGTGTGGTTTCTCTCGCTGGGGGCACAGGCTCCAGGGCACGTGGTCTCAGTGGTCGTGGTGCGCGGGCTCAGCTGCCCCGCGGGGCGTGCAATCCCCCTGGCCCAGAGAAGGAGCCCATGCCCCCTACTTTGGCAGGTGCAGTCTTACCTGCTGGCTCACCAGGGAAGTCCTACAAATATTCCTTTTTCAAAAATGTATTTATTTTTAATTGGAGTGTAATTGCTTCACAATATTGTGTTGTTTTATGCCAATAAATACTTATGTCCCCCCCCTCTCGAGTCTCCCTCCACTTCCCGCCCCATTCTACCTACCCCTCTAGGTTGTCACAGCGAATATTCTTAACTTGGGAAGGTTAATTTGGACCCAAGCAAGTAGTTAATGGGACTTCCTTCGTGGCTCAGACGGTAAAGCGTCTGCCTACAATGCAGGAGACCTGCGTTCAATCCCTGGCTTGGGAAGATCTCCTGGAGAAGGAAATGGCAGCCCACTCCAGTATTCTTGTCTGGAAAATCCCCAAATCCCATGGACGGAGGAGCCTGGTGGGCTAGAGTCCATGGGGTCGCAGAGTCGGACACGGCTGAGCGACTTCACTTTCCTAAGTAGTTAATGAACGAATCAGCAAGTCATAAGGCTGCTACCTGAATATTCTGTTTCTTCCGTAAACAGCAGAAGTCATTCTATATGCCCAGGGAAGAGAAAATTTAAATCAGAGCCTCTCCACAAAGACTTGGCATGCTACACTTGAACAGACTAGACCTCACCCTATATGGATGTCAGGATGATGACACATTTTAAAAATGGGCTGCTCACCTTCTGCTGAGGCTGGCTCTGTTCTCTTGGAGCGCACGGTGACAGAGGACGCTTGGGAAAGGTCCGTGCCTGTCCTCTGGACGCAAACCTCCACGGAGCCAGCACTTTCATCAGCGTGATATTCAGTGTCCCCAAAGTGCAAGGCAGGCTCTGGGGAGACGTGAAGGGACGAGTAAGAATGCTGCAGCCTCCCAGGACTCTCATCTCCTCTGGCCCCGCGGGAGCCTGGGTGTTTCTCACAATCAGCAGACTTGACAGGTTCCACGGGCTCTAGAGGAAACAGGCAAAACATACAAAAGACCACATCAAGGAGTCTCATGCCATGATGGCTTAGATTCCAGGAAGTGCAGTGAGAGAAAATCACAATTCTATTCATTTTCCTCCTTTAAGAGAGATCTGTTGTGCAAAGAAGTTTCCCCGTTGGGGAAACTGGTCAACTAGCTGTAACTCCGGCAAGCCAGCTATCGTTTGGAAAGAGATGGTGGGGAATTAGGGAGGCTTTTTTTCTCAAGGGAGAAGGGTCCTTCATGTTGAGGCACAGTCCAGCCAGGGGTCTGAACTCGGCGTCTGCTGCTGCACCTTATCCCATATGTTTGTTTATCACAAAGACAGACAGAAATTCTATTCCTGAGCTGCTACCCGCAGAGGCAGGGAAGGGGTCCCCTAGAATAGAAGGCTGGGGGCAGCCAGGGTGGGCATCAGGCTCTGAGAGCAGGTGAAAGTGAATGTGTTAGTTGCGAGTCATGTCCGGCTCTGTGTGACCCCATGGTCTGTAGTCCACCAGACTTCTCTGTCCCTGGGAATTCTCCAGGCAAGAATACTGGAATTGCTGTCTCCAGGGCATCTTCCCCACCCAGGGATCGAACCCGGGTCTCCTGCATTGCAGGCAGACGCTTTACCGTCTGAGCCGCCAGGGAAGCCCAAGAGTAGGTGGAAGAGAGGAAAACATCTAATGGGAAAGTTTGACAAGCCAAGACTTGGCCAAGCAGATGTACTCATCCACTGCCAGCTCTCTCGGTTCTAAAACGCAGCCTATGAGCTTAGCTGACTCTTCAAAGCTTATACAAGGGCCAGCTGTTACATTTGACATGATAAAGGTCAGAAACGAATGCTTTTCCTCAGACTGTGAAATTCAGAGGCAAAAAGATATCAACACCAGGCAGCAGCTTCACCACAGAGGCGTGACCACTGAGATGATAAATGGAAAATCAACACGACAGAGACGAAACCTCGGCAAGCACGGTACAACACAGAAGCATGTCAGAATGGAATTTGGATTTTGGAAGGTAGAAATCCACTGTAACAAGCAGTATTTGCCCAGGATATATTTTAGCAGATCTTTTCATGCTGCAGAGAGTTTTACCAAACGTTTGACGGTAGTGCGCAAGAGTTCTCATAATCTGACTAGCGTCTTGTTCTTTCTGGAGTCTTCATGCAACATCTGTGATCCTGTTACACAGAATAGCTCTCCAGGCAGCCAGCACCGCATGTGGTCAGGGCCTCCATCTTCACTGGTGATGTCCTCTGAGCTGAAACTCCCTTCTCAACATGTTAATTTCACACACTCCTTTTGTAAGACTTTGACTGAGTAACCTGCTCTGGGAGGTCACGTGCGTGTGCGCGTGCATGCTAAGTCACTCAGTCGTGTCCGACTCTTTGCTATCCTATGGACTGTGTAGCCTGCCAGGTTCCTCAATCCATGGGATTCTCCAGGCAAGAATACTGGATTGGGTTGCCATGCTCTCTTCCTGACCCAGGGATCAAACCCGTGTCTCTTGTGTCTCCTGCATTGGCAATCAGGTTCTTTACCCCTAGTGTCACCTGGGAAGCCCCTGGGAGGCCGTATATGCCCTTAAGGGGGGAGTTGTTCCTTATCCCGTGCTCCCCTGACACTTTGCACAGCTCACTAGTTGCAGTGATGGGTCACTCTGGCTATTTGCTGTCCTCAGCTGTATCGCAGGTGGGGTCTGCACTCAGAAAAGGGTGTGGGGAGGTCATTTTCTCTTAAAACTTTTTGTTTCTTTTTTTGGCTGCACCGGGTCTTGGTTGCAGCATGCAGGATCTTCAGTTGCTGCAGGTGGGGTCTAGTTCCCTGACCAGGGATGGAAGCCAGACCCCCAGCATTGGAAACATGCCAAGTCTTAGCCTCTGGATCACCAGCGAAGTCCCCATTCTCTCTTTTTGACTCAGAAGTTTCATCCACCTCCCCATTGTTGCTGGCGGATGTTTTGGAGACCTCTAAGCTTGGACAGGACACAGGGTGGAGAAGCAAGAGAAGCGACAAGATCTTGATGGGCTTTATTATGGTGACCGCACTCTTGGGTCTTAGAAGATGGAAGAAAGCAGATTCTGTTTCTCATGGGCACTTTGGTGTGTTCTTTGGAGATCTCTCATTCCCATGGTTGAGTGCTTCTCATCTGCCATCCCTTTGATAAGGATGTATGCGTGCTAAGCCCCTTCAGTCTGCATCCCTGTCCGGGCTGATCGCTAAACCTTCCTCATATATTAGGATTTGGCGGTGCTTCTGTGGGGATTGTTCATCCCTCTAGATGGCGCTGTTGGACAAGGCCTAAGACGGGTCCACTCTGGATCTCTGCCGCGAGCGTGGCTCACAGCTGGTCCAGGACAAGCTTCCTGCATCCTTTGCTTGATACACCCTGGGGATACTGCCTCATCTTAATGCATCTCTTGTTTGCTCGTCTATCAGAGCAGCTAATCAGCATATCTCCTACACTGAGATTTTTCCAGATAGAGCCAGTTTCCTCCACACTGTAGGTGACACACATCACCCTTATCACGGTCTCGTGACTCAGCACCTCTTTAAAAAGTTAAAATGTTAAAGCCGCCATTCTCACACACTGTTCTGTGTTATTAGAGCCTTACCAATACCTCCAGACCAGGGACCACATTCCACATCCCCTTAGAAACAGTTCGGTTGCTGTGTTATAAGTATTAAAGAATTGGTCGAGTGGCTAATTTTAACTCACTTCTGATATACTTTGAACTTACTACAAATAATATTTTTTAAAGTTGAGACTAATGGATCTGCTTATTTAGCAGAGAATTTACTGTGTGTGGTATTAGGGAAGGAAGAAAGATAAGAAAGATAAAAAAAATTGGGTAATGTCACTGTTCAGAAAAAAAAATGTAAGAATCAAGACTCTTTACCAGCTGAGCCACAAGGGGAGCCCAGGAATCAAGCCTCTCTGAATACCTTAAGATACAGAATGTAAGAGGAGGACAGCGTGACTTAGAAGAGAAATCATGAAATTCTTCTGAGATGCTCTGTATACTGAGCATAAGGAGATTTGTTCAAATAGAGGAAAGAGATGCACTGGGCAGCCAGCAGTATCTCTAAGTAGTTGTCACTCAAGGTCTGTTTAAAAATCTGAGATGCTGGCAATAATTCTTATGGGTGGGCAGTTATGAGAGTAGAATATGTTAACCACTTATGTTAAGTGGATTCCACAGCCATAGCGATGTTTTTCTCTCCTTTAAAAGAAAATGTCCCTTAAATGGAAATAAGAAAAAGAAATGTGACCAAGTGGAAAGGGAAACTTTTGAAAGAGATATGACCATCATTTTAAAATGAGCTCACTATGCAGATTCAGAGAAATTTCATACCAAAATCCAAAGAGGACTTACAGGTGAAGACACAGACACGCTGCTGTTAAACTTTGACAAACCACCCTGAACAGGATAGATGCCGAGAGATGGAAGATTGGAAAACGTTTTTTAAGTTACCTCGGAAGACAAAATAGATTCTGGAAACAAGAAGGTAAGCTTAATCACTAGAAAAATTCTGAAGTTTATTTCAACAGTTTTTGGATCTTTAGAAACAGAAGAGGCAATGCCGATGAGTCAGTATCGGTTTTTTAACATCTGGTTTCATGAAGTTAAGTTTAGTGTTTTTTTAGTTCAGCTAAACAGACACCTTTTGAGCATCCTCTATGTGTTCTCACTATGGGGATGTAAAGAGATGTGTGTTCTTCCTGTTACGGTGTTTCTGGTGTAACAGGGCAGCCACACTAATACCTATCAGCTAAGCCTGAGTGCTCAGACAAAAGGAGCAACCACCTCAAGGCTCAGAGGGAGGAGTCTTGGAAGAAAATAACTGTGCTAGACTCAAACAATGAATGAGAATTGATCCAGGAGAAAGGTGGGAAGAATGTCCCCAACAGAGTGGCTCATATGAAAAAGAAAAGCCCAGAAGCACGACAAAGCCTAGTGTTTGGGAAGGAATAAAAGAGGGCGTTTCTTGGAAATGTTTAAGGTGACAGTGGATGAATGAGGGGATGAGTTTTGAGAGGAAGGGAGAAATCAGATCCTACAGAAACTTGGATCCACTTTAAGTAGATAGGACTTCATATTCTAGACTCTGCTTAGAATATACGGGCCAATTTGAAGTAGTGGAAAGGTGGTTGGTTTTTTTTTTTGTTTTCTGTACATCTGTCCAACTTTGGTTTGGGTCACAGATTTAAGGAAAAGCTAGGGCTACTGGTTAGGAAGCTATTGCAATTATCCAGGTGAGACATGAGGATGGTTTGAAGTGTTCACTGGTGTGTATACTAATGATGGAGTGGGAGAGATGGATGTAGTTAGTGTCCTAAGCAGCATCCAGTGATTGGACGTAGGTGGCTTCTAGGATGCCCCGCCAGTGTGCGGATGGGATCTTCATAAACTCAGTTGGGAAGATAGGTGGGGAAACAGTCTTGGCTAGGGGTGGAAAGGCTTTAATGTGTGAATCTGGAGTTTGAGAATCTAGTCAGGGTTGGAGATTTAGGAGTCACTAGTGTACAAGTTGTGGACAATCTTGTACTGTCTTAGAGGATATGATCATCCAGTGTGAATGAGTAAAGAGAATGGGTGTATCGGTGTCAACCACTGGAGAGACTGGCAGAGGGGAAGGAACTCAAAAAAAGAGACAGAGGAAGAGTGATGGAGACAAGAGTGGATCCAGGAAAATCGAGAGAATAGGAAAAATTGAGAAATATAAGTGACCACAGTGTTAAATTCAGCAAGTATCGGCAGAAAGATGTGTGTAAGCCAATAGTGGTAATCAGTGGCACAACCACCAAAATATACCTTATTAAACTTAAAACTGTATCAACTGAACTATAATGCCTAAATTTAAAAATAAGAAATGAAATAAAATTTTTTCTGCATTTAAAAACTTTAACAACTGTATTATAATATGACTAACCTTCTAAAGCATAGTGTTACTCTTTCTTCCAAACAGTTTTCTGGGTTTTAAAGTACAGCAATCTGTC